CAGTACGCCAACATGCAAAGGCCCAAATGTATGTTTACCAACGATTTACAAAAGAGTTTCCCCGCTGTCAGACCGGATCGAGACAAATGGGAGGCCTTGTGCACAGTGTGCAAAGCAGGCACATATGTCTCGGTGTCCAATGGAGGTGCAAGGGATCTGAAAAGCCACCTGGACTCCGCAAGTCAAGATATTCTATTGATATGTTTGTTCGTTTTTGGTACATTTTGAGTTATTTTTGCTACAAAAGAGGTATTTTTTGTTAATTAGCTCATTTGTTTATTTTTTCCAATAACCTACAGAACAAACATTATTTCGTTCATTGCTGAGGCTGAGTATCATCATATTGGGAGTTGAGAGTTATTGTTAACTTTTATTGTTAAGTGAGGGATGTTTAGATGAGACATTATTTCTTTCATTGTGCTATTCATTCATTACAGGAATTGTTAAGCATTTTTAATAAATACATTTTGAATAAAATTATCATTTGTTATTGGAGTTATTGCTGTTGACTTTTACTGAAAATCATTTTTAATAAACCAACTGTTAATATCATGTTATTGTAGGATTACCTAGGCCTATGCATGGGAACAGAGATCCCCCGCCGCCGCCCCCCACCCCCCCCCCACCCCCGCTCCAAGGTGTCCTGGTTTTTCAAGATGAAAATATGGTCACCCTACGTAAAGACCGAAAGGACAAGATCGTAAATACCAGCGCCCAAAATTAGTTTTCTTCGCAGGGTGGCTGGGCGCACCCTTCAAGATCGGGTAGGGAGCTCAATTACCCGGTAGGAGCTCGGCATAGAGTAGTTGCTCCTCCACGACGAAAGGAACCAGCTGAGGTGGCTCAGATATCTATATCGGATGCCTCCTGGTCGCCTCAATCGTGAGGTGTTCCAGGCATGTCCCATTGGAAGGAGGCCTCGTGGAAGGCCCAGGACATGGGCCTTTCACAAGGGATTATGTCTCTGAGCTGGCCTGGTGTCGCCTTGGGGTCCCCCAAGAGCAGCTGGAGGAAGTGTGTGGGGATCGGGAAGTCTGTGCATCTTTGCTTAGAATGCTGCTTCCGCGACCCGGCGGAAGAAAATGGATGGATGGATGGATGGATGGATGGATGGATGGATGGATGGATGGATGGATGGATGGATGGATGGATGGATGGATGGATGGAATTACTCAATGCAAATAAAAGCTCAAATTTCATTATTTATAATATAGATTATTATAAAGCCAATAAAATACACATTTTATACAGAAATGTTATGATATTAGCCAGTGACCATCAACATTTACTCAAAGGACATTAATATAAAACAGAAATTAAACCTTTGTGACTCACTTGTTTTTTAAGAGCTGTTGTAGATGCTGATAGCTATATACAGAAAGGATCTCCTTTAGTGCTCTGTGGTACCTAAAGTCTCTGACTAAAGACAAAGGCAGCCTGATGAAGAGGAAGTTGAGGGTTATCTCAGATATTTTTTTAAGAACTCTTTTCTTTTGTAAAACGAAAATAAAACAAAGTTCTAAAATTGTGTTTCGGGTACATGATGTATAAGTTAAACTGATTATTCTCATTTATTACCTGTGAATTAGCTCTCAGGTTTAAAAACTTTTGTGACTCCTGGCCAGCACAATCACAGGGAAAGATACCATCATGAAAGTTGTGGACAGCAGGCAGTCATCAACACTCTAGACAGGAAGCTTTAGACAGAAACAGCCAATTGTTAAAGAAGGTAACTGTTTAGAGTGTTATAAAAAAAAACTATTTATGGAAAGTCACATGGAAGGAAAAACTGTGGTAGAAAAAGGTGCTAAAGTATTATTGAAAAGGCCCTTTAAAACAAAGTGCTCAATTTTAACAGAACATAAAAAGTAAATATTGAATAAAACAAGGATAAAATATATAAACAAAAAAAGAAATATTAGCATAAACACATTTAAATTTAAAACATAGAATCCCGAACAAGTCGGTCTTTTAAAAACCTCCAAACAACAAGCCAGCCTAATATCTTGAGGGAGGTTTTATTTACCAGTATGTTGTAGGACAAGAAAAAGCATGCTCTCTAACAACTTTCCTTCTGTTGGTGAAGTTTCTCTGTCATCCAGGTCATAGTAATTCCAACAAAGTTAAAAAAAATGTATCCACTGGACTTAGATTCCAAGTTTGAAGAGGTTTCGCTTTAACCTGACTCCGCCAGATGGATTTGCTCCGCATATCCATCTGGAAACCTTCGGTTGAAGTAATTTTGGGAAGGGGCGAAAATACTGGTTAGCTGATTGGCCTATGTTGGTGATAGACGGGCCAAATTTTGCTCTGCTACGTGTCTTTTGTCATTCCTTACTGATTTGACGAACACCCAGCTTGGGTATCCACAGATTTGAAAGCATCTTTGATGTGTTTCTTTGTGCTTTTCTTCTTCTTCTTTTATAGGGACATCTTCAGTGCGATGTTGTAAGGTTCTGATGACTGAACGTTTTTGTTCCAGTGGGTGGCATGAGTCAAAAAGAAGATATTGGTCTGTGTGAGTGGATTTCCTATACACTTCAATGTTGAGTTTTCCCTCTTATGAAAGCTTCCGCTTCTTTCAGCTGGAGTTTGACTAATGTGTCATCCACATATCTAAATCAATGGCTCACTCTGAGAGTGTCCAAAGCTCTCTTTTCCATTTTTTCCATGTAAAGATTGGCTACAATTGGTGACACGGGAGATCCCATTGCACAACCATGCTTTTATCTGTAAATATTATCCATACACTTGAAATAGGCTGTGGAAAGACAGAGTTCCAGTAGGGTGCAGATCTTGTCCAGAGTGAAATTAGTCCTGTTGTTTAGGTCACTGTCTTGTTGAAGACGCTTCCTGACGGTTTCCACTGCCTCTGATATAGGTATGCATGTGAAGTAACATCAAAAGACACCAGGGTTTCTCCTGGCACCATCTTTAAATGTTTGACTTTGTCGGTGTGTTTAACACCAAAGGGGCTAAAATATTAGTGAGCTGTTTAGCAATGTATGTTGTATGTTACTGAGTTAATAATGCTGACAATGGGTTAGAGTGGTGTTCCTTCCTTGGGAATTTTTGGGATTCCATATAAGCATGGAATGTCATCCCCTACATATAATCTAAAATAACCCCCTAGATATAATCTAAAATAAGCCGAAGAGTTAATTGCCTTGTCTTTTTCGAGTTGCTTGAGGTACTCCGTGATTTTCTTTTTGTAGGCATTGGTTGGATCTCTTTTCAAAAACTCATATGTGTTGGTGTCACTCAGTAGTGAGAATTTTGTCCTGGTAGTCGAAAGTGTTTAGGACCATTTTGCATCTTTATTTGTCTGCTGGTAATATGGTGATGCTTTGGTTCTGGCTAAGGGATGTTATGGCTTTCATTTCCTGTGCTGTGAGATTGGAAGAAGGTGGTTTGGCGCCGGACAGGGTAGCTGTTACTTTTATTCTGAGTTGCTCTGCCTCTGTTTCAGGCAAGTTGTTGTTCCTATAGGCAGATTCAGTGGCAGTGATTGGCTCCACAATGGTTATTTGTGGGGAAACGGCAAAATTCAGGCCTTTACTCAGAACATCCATCTCTGGTTTTGTCAGCGGTCTGCTAGATAGGTTTTTAACTCACTTGTCCTGGACCTCGATGTTGGTGGCTTCCTCCTGTGATATGTTGGTTTCTTGTTTAATTGCGGCTTTCTGTTGTAATTTGTTGAATTTAGCTTTTTGTCTTTCTTTTGTTTTCTGGTGCTGTGAAAGCTGGACCTTATCAACAAAAGTGACAGAAGGCTGGACAGCTTCTGCCTTGTCTGATCTATTCTGATCTATGATAGCTTCAATTGTGAAGCGAGTCTGTCTTATCCTTTCACTAAGTAGCTTTTTGTGCACATTCTTAAGGATCTCTTCTGCCGTGTCCTTTGATAGTAGACTTCAGTCTTAGCTGTTTGGAACGAGTCTTTGCTGTCTACATCTTAAAATGAAACAAAGGTGGTTCCTATAATCTGCAAGTTTCCTAAATAATTTCTCATACTCATGCATTATTCCAAGGGTGTCTTTCCCAAAATGGACTGCAATATGCTGATGAGCTTTTCTTCTGCTTTAGGAACGCGCCCTGAGATCAGAGAATACAAGTTGGAACCAACAGGAGCAAAGGATCAGAGATAGGAAGGAGCCAGACCATTCAGAGCGATAAGGCATCAGTGAAAAGATGTCAGTGCTGGTTTAATGTGCTCATATTTCCCATTTTTGCTCAAGATGCAAGCAGCAACATTTCAAAGGATTTGCAGACCTCTAAAACTTTTTCTTGGTAACCCTAAAAGGACTATGAGATTCCTGCTGTTACATCACAATGCTGGGGACCCCCTTCTGAATCATGCTTCACTAAGAGCATTCAGCATATAAACTTCATAATGATTTAATAAATAGAGAAGAGTGGACAGACAGGGAATCAAAACTGCTTTAGATCCAGTTAATTGACTACAGTGAATTATGTTTTCAGGAGCCAGTTCATCTCTTGGGGCTCCCGTGTCTATGCAATACCAAAATCCTCAAGTAGGAGGTCTTACAGCACTTCAAGGTCCCCTCTGCAGACAATATTTGTAGAGCTGTTAATGTTGTCATAAAGCCGTGCTTGGCACCAACCAAAACCACAGTGCTCATTGAAAGGAAAGGTTCATTGAAAGGAAGAGTTCCCAGATGTACTCTATGTGTAATCCATACTGCAGTGGAATATTTCATTCAAATGGCTCATGACCGCACACTCATTTCCATCATGTAAATTCTTTTTCTATTTCTATAAGAAATTATTGTTTGTAAATTATAAATTATTCTGGACATTAAAACAAATACTAACTTAAAACATATCACTTTGTTCTTTACTGTATTTTTTATTTTCTTCTATCAATTTATAAGTTTTCATTTATCTCCTAATTAATTGAGATGTAGCTCAATGATATTAAGTACCTTAGAAATGATAGCGTTTACTATTTACTGTTACAGAAATCAAAGTTTCACACAAACAGAAAAACTAACTTTATTGAACAACACAAGATGATCCAACAATAAAAAAAAAAAAGAATAGCGGTTATAATTCATCATGTGACACGTGGAGGTGTCTACCATAGTCTGTCACTTCACTGTTCATGAAGGTTTCCTGGTTTTTTAAAACTTCAGATGCTGAAATTTGCCCATCTCCATCCTGGTCCATTTCCTTGATGAGGTGAAGAGCCTGTTAAAGACGAGGGCAAATGAAATCGAAATATTACAGCCTTTATGTTGTATGGAGATATTTCTCTTACAGAGTTATAACTTCAAGATTGGAACCTAATTATTAGGTGGGGGTGTAATGTTTATTTGACTAGAGATTTGGTTGGATTTTCTAACCATTGAATAAAGTAATAAAAGCAGGTATGGGAAACCGTACCACTGCCACATACAGCAGCAGAGTTACTAAAAGTCCTCTCACTTTATTGTTTCTTTTGGTTGCACTACAGAAAGTTGCATTGGGCACTTATTTCTATACGTCAACATCTTTCAGCTGTTCAGATATAAAATATTGCTATATTTTTTTGCTACACGTGCACACCCAACTGATAAAGCGGTGGTAGATATTTTTGGTATTATGGTAATACATATTCTATAACACCCCAAGAATTATGATTGTAGAAGCAATAAAAGAAAGCTGCTAATTGATGCCATTTAAGGATACACGAGTGTACAAATGAAACTTTTAGGAATAATTTGGGGGTTTCTTAAGCAGCAGCAATACCATATCCCCATTTCCAATGAGAACACTTGGTGGCGGGAGTATTATGGTATTAGACTGTTTTGGATCCTCAGAACTGCTTTAGCATTCGCAGATTAAAGGATCACAACAAAAAGCACTATTACAGGCACGTCTCCTTGTGATCACTTGACGTGTTTGCTTTGATTGTTTTTCTCTATATTTGTGGCTGAAAATAAAGATCAATCTCAGTAGTGTGTGTTGGAAACCCGCTAACACTGCATGTTTTTATTTCAGCTAATTTTGATGGAGCAATCGAAGCTTACTTCCTCTCTTGCTGAACCGTAGCTATTAGGAGCGACCCAGCGCAGCTGCTCCTCTCGATCCAGTTTGCCGTCCCTGTTTTGGTCATACAGCTCTTTAAACCGCACTGTTTCTTCAATCTCCCACTGTGATGGAGGCTCTCCTTATTTAGAAAAAAAAAAGATAAAAGTTTTCAACAACTAAAAACAGAGAAGGAATTGGGATAAAGGACACACTGCCCTACCTTCATTACGCACGTTGCCAATAAATTCACTAAGACTGATGAATCCATCTTTATCCGTATCATATTCATTCAATACATCTTCAATGGCAAAGTCCTGGCAGAAACAAAGCGAGTCAAAAGTAGAGATTCTCCTGTATCGGAAAGTGCCTCATCATCACATCGGATTTTGCAGGAATCAGAAGTAAAATAAACTTACAGCCATGTAATCCACTTCAGATGGATGGGTGAAGGCAAGAAACTCTGTCACGTTTAGACCGGGCGTACCATCCACATCGGCAAAATCAAAGCGCCTCTTCTCCTTTAAGAGAAGCTAAAAGTGATATCAGAATATTTTTTAGTAAAACAAATTTACAGAAGAATATGGAATAAACCGTGAGACATTACCGTATTTTGTAGTAAGAATATGCCTATATCCCTTGAACTGTTTTATCATATCACAACAAACTTAAGATTCTATTGAGATGTTGTAATTGATTGAAACAAATTTATACATAATTATAAAGGCTGAGTTTATATATTGTTCAAGCAAGTGCAGCAGAAAATAATATTGAACCTCAAATCATTATCACAACAGATTTTTATGCAATACAACCATCATAAAGGACTATTTGGACCCTTTTTTGCTATGGTATATTTCAGGTGGCTGACACACTGCATAATAATATTTTTTTAATTATAATATAATTTATTTTTATCATAATTACGGTTTAATCTGGGTTGGTTTATTACATGGAATTTCAATGCAATATGGTGTTTGGTTGTAACATGATAAAAAAAATATATAATACATTTTATTAGAATGCACTTTACATTTATGAGAAATCTCAAAGTGCTACAGGTAAAATCATCATAGAAAGTTAAAAGCAAAAATTTAAAAACTAAACATCATGGTAAAATACACCTGAATAAATAAGTCGGTGGCGTAATTGTAAAAGACATGACCAAATTTGAAACATTTAAGTGTATGAATACTTGTTGCAACACACGGTTTAATGTTTGCTTACTTGTCTCAGAGACTCATGCTCGGGATTCTCCAGTACGGTGTCATCATCAAAGGTAATGAGCTGATCATGAGCAACAGAGCTGTACTCTTCCCATGTTACAACACCATCTTTGTTCAAATCAAACTCGGCGAACCGCTCCTCTGCGTCTTCCAGAGCATATTTTCTATAGACATGCTGAATCCACAGAGTGATCTCCTCTGAGAATAAAACACACAATAAAACCAAACAGAAAATATATTCCCATTTGTTTATTTGTACATTTCTGACCTAACATAATGTTACCTGAACTTAGAAGATTGTCCCCATTTGTATCAATCAGCTTTAAAATTTCCATTAACTTCTTTTTCTGCTCTTCTGAGCTGAGTTTCTTTAATTCCTTGGTGTTCTAAAAAATAAAACAAGACTTAAAATTTGCAGTGGATAATTTGGAGGACAAAAATACAACATGACCAAAATACTGAATAACCTGATCTCCTAACAGAACAGCCATGTCATGGTCAGGGTTATGCTGCTGGCTGACGTAATGATCTTCATTAATATAATGATCGTGTGAGCCTAATTGCACAACTTCAAACTGAAGCATCAGCAGGAAGAGCAACAAAGGCCTTTCCATCTGTTGAGAAAAGGAGTAAACATCATGAACAGAAATATTCAATGCAATTCTGCTATCTGGTGGGCTGCTAGTGGAAGTTCATACAAAGACAAAAAAACAAACAAAAACACAACATGCAAAATCCACACACATCTGCCTCAGTTAAAATTAAAAGCATAGAGTAGAGAATTAAACTAGCCTAGCATAGAGATTTTTATCCGGGTCACTTTGCTGAATAGCTATAAAACTGGGTAAAGGAGAGGAAGCATAGGAGCGAAAAGAAATTACAAACTGTGTTAGCTTACACCCGAGTCAAAATTAGCAATTAACATATATAATGCGACTTAAAACCCAAATGCAGTTGTTATTAGCTGCACAAAATATTACCGTGAAAAGTTGTTGGAACAAATGCAGAGTCTAACAATGTTCGAATTAACTAGGTGGTTGTGTTTCCGGTAATGAATTTCAAATTAAAAGGACCAGGGACATTAAAAGGGTTATGACAATGAAGGCATACATTATTAAGACTATAAAATGTTTATGCACACACACACACACACACACACACACATATATATATATATATATATATATATATATATATATATATATATATATATATATATATATATATATATATATATATATATATATATATATATATACAAATAGTGGTCAGAGGCCCTAGTGAGTAGTACCCTTGTGTAGGCTCAGTGGTTATACTTTTAGTTTGAAAGCAAGATCATATCTCGCACCGCTTCCGGGTGTTTCCTTGCTACTTCATCTATGTTGTCAACACAACCGACAAACGGTGGATGTCCCGCCTGATCTCACTGGTTGCCATGGTAGAGGATTCAAAGTCACGCCCACAGAAAAAAAGACCACCTTTGTTATAATATATACAGCATCTGATTGGCTGACGTGCGCGTCCTCGCTAAGGTACTGGAATTCCATTGGATAATCTCAACATCAGTCACAGAAATGAACCCAACGCACTTCCTGCTACTGCTTCATATAGGTTGCCCTGTGTCATGCATTTATCTGACATGATTTTCCATCACAATTGACCAGAAGACTACTTTGTAGTTGAACGTCAATTTTTCATAAACACTAAGACCCGACACTTGAGACGGGTCGATGTCTAAAGACAACCGCCACGATGGGAGGCGGCGTGGCGCTGGCCAGCACCGTCTCGGCCCGAGGGTTAGCCAAGGTGTTGACGGGAGGGAAAGGTCTGGGAGCAACAGCTCTGGTTCCTCGCATGGAGGAGGCAAAAGCAAAAGTGCATCTACGCTTTCTTCTAAGGTATGTGTAAAGCAGTAATTAAGTGCTCTTGAAAAAATATTAACGGTAACCATTGCTACACCAACCAAGCTAGGTTAGCCTGCATACCCGTAAAGGGATTACTTACCTTCAGTGGGTGTGTTGTCCTCAAATTTACAGTTTTTAAACACTTCTGCTGCAGAATACTTGCACTATTTAGGTGTGTTTACCAAAATAATGTCAGCTAGTGTTGCTTCTCCTACTGAAGTCTGTTTCTGTCACTAAATGCAGCATTCAATCAAGTTAATATAAACCAGAATGAATTCTGTAGGAATTCTGGAATTTCTGTACATTTCACAAATACTAATAATTTGGTAAAAATTGAAAAAGAATATTAAAAAAGAAAGTGGAATAATCAACATTTTACAAACTTTTTTACCATACCTTTTTTTTTTGTTTTTTTTTACATCTCATTATAAACTTATCTATTACACATTTAGAGAGGGAAAATGTGTATGTGTATATATATGTATGTATGTGTATATGTTTTATATATGTATGTATGTATGTATGTATGTGTACATGTTTTATATATGTATGTATGTATGTGTATATGTTTTATATATGTATATATGTTTTATATATATGTATGTAATACATATATATATAAAACATATACACATACATACTATGTATGTGTATATGTTATTTATTTATATATATATATATATATATATATATATATATATATGTGTGTGTGTATATATATATATTTCACTAAACAATTAAACTGCATTATCAAATGCTAACAAAATATAGCACACTAATAATAGCCGTAATTAAAAAATCAATTGTTGTTTTCCAGCAGTCCTTTGGATCTGTTAATATATTGAGAAAGGACTTTGGTAACATCATTAACCCCTAATTAAATGACTGCTCTATTTTTGTGGTGCACTATGTTTTTTATGACATATTTGCCGCTTGAGAAAAGCTGCAGTGTCAACTACTGTGGCATCTTTTACAGTTAATCATCAAAGATCCCAGCTCCAACTGTACTTGGATGACATCTTAAAGATCTCATTTTAAAAAGCTATTCCGCATCAGTTAAGAATATAAATCTGTGTTTTTTGTGGTGGTTTAGTTACAGCCTTAAATCAGTAGTGGTTAGTTTTGAAACAGGAAGTACATAACTGCAGGTTTTTGTTTTTTTCTATGACAAATTCATTTGTTGTATTTTTTTTTTTTAGCAGTAGCAGTCAGATTCTTTTACATTTTGGCCTAAATGCAGAATCTTATTTATCTAGAATAATACTAACACTGCACTTTACACAGAACAAACAGTTTCCTTGTGAAATGTGGTGACAGCAGTGTTTTACTGAGGATGCTTTTCCTCAGCAGGCTCATTAAAGCAGCTCAGAGTTTGATTTAGGATAAATATAGGTTAAATACAGGGTATCCCTGGGTAAAAAAAAAAAAAAAAAAACACTTGTTCAGCCTACAAAAGACTAGATACTTTGGTGATCATAAACCCCTAATCCAATGACCGTGAGCATAAACATAGAGCTACAATAGAATGATGGAGATCACAAAATACAATCCGTGTTTTGGCCCTAACAAACTGCAGAACTAAATCCAGCAGAAATACTGTAAAAAGATTAAAACATAGCGGCCCACAGATGCTCCTCATCCAGTCTGACCTAAGTTAAGATTTTTTTGGAAAGATCAATTGGGAAAATGGACACTGTTTTCACAAATACTTAAAAGCGGTTGAATGAAAGTGCACAGCATTGTTTGAATAATTTCACTGTAAAAGTTGGAAACCATGAATTCTTTTCATTTGTATTTAACTTATCTGATGTTGTTGCATCTCAGAACCACTTAACCCACGGGTGTCAAACTGGTTCCAGAAAGGGCCGTGTGGCTGCAGGTTTTCTTTCCAACCAAGCAATAGCACACCAGACTCCTGTCATATCATCAAGTGAGTCCAATCTGAACATGATGACTTGATGAGATGAATGGAGTCTGGTGTGCTATTGCTTGGTTGGAAAGAAGACCTGCAGCCACACGGCCCTTTCTGGAACCAGTTTGACACCCCTGACTTAACCCATCAGGTGTGGAGCATGGCTCTATGGATAATATGCTTTGTTTCTGTTCGCTGTCTTGTGTTACCCTGCAGATGTATACTCAGCCCCCCTGGCAGCACGGTATAGAGGGGCAAAAGGGGCAGGCCCGCTGCATACACATGACTGCGCAGTTCTGTGGCAGAAGGAGAGGGAGAGACGTGGAGCAGAGATAGCGGGGGCTCTGATGCAGAGCTAGGAGCGAAGAAGAGGCGAGCTATAAACATAGGAAGCTGCATACAGCAGCAAGGAGAGGAGACCGGCAGGCAGCGAGATAGGCCTAAGAAGTGCCTGCTAACTCAGCAGAGCGCAGAGGGCTGAGGCTAGATTACAAAAAGAGAGCTCTGGGCAGAATCGTGTAGAGAAAGAAAGGATAGATGGACTATTCACTGCTTGTCTCCCTCAATCGCCTTTGAGAGGAGTTGGCACAGCTGGCCAAGTTGCTATAGCAGTGTTGACTACACAGTGGGCGTCTATTTTGGTCGTGCTGTCAGATAACGATGTCACCTTGGACAAATGGCAGTGCTGGTTAGAAGGGACAGGTTGCAAGGAATGGGCTACTAAGAATGTCAGCAGTGGATAAAGACGAAGAACCTGCTCTTAGACTCTACTTCTATTCTGTATGTATGATCTAATGTTTTTATTTCCATGTTTTGATAATGAGTCAGGGCTCGCTCTCTGTTCACGCTCATGCCTGTTTGTAGGTCTTGCCAATAGGGGAAACCTGACACTTTGCCCCCTTACTCAGCACCGTCTTGAATTTAAACACTAATGCAGGGAAATGGACTGCCTGGTCAAATAAGATAACAGTAGTTAAACTTCAGTGTTCATCTTCTCTGCAGGTCAGGTGACAGCCTGTAGGCAGCTTATTGAGTACTCATTAAGTGGATCACACTAACGTTGTTGGAAGGTGTTTTATTTACGTTGTTGATATGATATTGATTAAAAGACCTTCATCTTTTGAGCGTCCAGGTTACAGCATGCAGAGCAAAAAAGGCTCTCCTTAATTAGCTGTTTTTTTTTTCTTTTGTTGTCCAGTTCTTTGATGTCTCTGTTGTATCATTCCAGTTGCCAGAATAAAGCCCAGGCCACACCACTTGACATGTAAAGAATTTTGCTTAGCAAAAGTAGGTCAGCTGGGTCTCTTCCCTTAGGGACATTCAAATGTACCAGAGTGATGCACGCATGCTGTTTAGAAAGAGCCATGCTGCTATTATTCCGGTCGGATTAAATAGAATAGTTTGTTGGATGACATAATGCAAAGTTATAACTTTTTTTTTTTTTGCACATCTTCAAATATGGCTGAGAAAAATTTAGTTTTTTAACATAAAGCATAGTAAGAGTACTTCTTTTCAGTTCAGTAGCAGTCTGGCTGAGAGGCAGCCAAGTAAAGACACAGTTTGTTCCATGACTCATTTGCAATTTAGTGGAGTACAGCTTCTCATTTTTATTAGGCTTCTTATAGCTAGTGGGACCATTTCAAATGTAAGACGACATAAAAATGAATACATTCGATTTGGGTTTTACTGGAGTGTATATTAAACGATTTGCAGGAGTGATGCAGACCTTTGTGTGAGGAGGAAAGATTCAGACTTCCAGGCTGTTTGCTTCTGTTTAGTCCTTGTAACCTCATAGCATTTTTTTTTTTTAATGAGTCATCCTCCTGTTTAAAAGCAGAGTTCTTCATATAAACAGTGTCATTTTTCTCTACGTGGTGTTGATATCGCCAGATGCTGATCCAGTGTTTGAACTAGGGCTTTATTAATGTGCCATAGATAAAGGGAGCAGTCTGTCAGTATGTTTTTGTTTTGTTTTTTAGCTCACAGGGTGTTCACTAGAGGTTAGAGTCAGGTTCAATGATGCATATTCAATGTGTAGGTCAACCATGATGCAGGCTGGCAGCAGAGTGTGTTTAAAGCCTCTGCCTCTAGCTGCTTCTTTTCAAGGTCTCTGCCATTAAACCTCTCCACCCATGCTTGCTTTTAATGTTACAATCTCATGTACACTTTTATTTTAAAATGATAAAAAGTACATATAATTTGAAAGTTTATAACTTAAAAAAAAACCTTTACCCTCAAAGCTCATGCATGTTAGAATAAGAAAAGACTTGAGTGAGATTGAGCTTTAGTGTGCATTTTGTGAGTTTCTGCTGTTATGAAATGTCTTAAAATGCAGGTAACCATGGCAACACTGCTCCTTTCAGCTTGTTCTGTTTGTTAACACTGAAAATTGAAGTTATTTAATGATTTATGTGTCTGGATTTTCAACCTTTTGGTTTTATTCTTTCTGTTAAACAGACTTAAATGCCTCAAATATAAACCTTCATAAATACTTAAGATTTGATTTGGGAACGATGTCCATAACACTTTGATTTGCTACATGTGTTATGATTATTTATTGTGAAATATCTATTGGATTTTGTAAGTAGTTTGTAAGAAACTATGACATCTGAGAAAAGCAAAGGTTTTGCAAGAGCTTAAGTTAGTCTTGCAACATCTTGTTCACAGATTTTATTATTGGCAAGAATGTGTAGCTCAAGATAGGAAATCCAGATCTTTACCTAAAGCAAATAAAATGTGATTTATTTTTATTTTTTTAAGCATGTCATCACTACCGGGTTAAGTCACAGATTTCTGATGGAGATTGTCAATGTGATCTGACATTCTTCCTTAGAGTAAAGCTTAACTGTTCTGAAAAACCAAAAACCAAAAAAAAAACCTAAATAAAACACTATACTTGCAGAAAACAAATGACATCAGACTGTGTAGGAAAACATGCAACTATCTTTTAAGTTTCTTTCTATCTATTAGAATTGCTGCCTGTTTTTTAGCGATGCAAATCATTTAGACATGTCACGAGATGTAGGGAAAAATAATACACCAAAGGAAAATCTGTAATTAAATCTGTTCTGTCTTGCAGGCCTCTTTTCAGCGCTCCAACAGCCACGACAAAGTGAGAAAAATAGTCGCTGAAGAGGGTCGTGCTGCTCGAAACCTCATTGCCTGGAGTGTCCCTTTGGAAAGCAAAGAGGAGGAAGGTGGGCAGCTGCATGCAAATAATACTATCCACCATTAACATTAGCAACATATAGGTGGTGTCATTAATTGATTTCTAGATTAATGATATCCTAAACATCCCATATCAGAGGTTAAGGAATATGTTGGAAGTATGCTGCTCTTACATTAGATGCACCATGCTTTTTTTTTTCTTTTTTTTTTTATATAGAGTAAAGTGCAGAAGATGGAAAAATAAAGCTTGTTTGACCGTTTGTGATGCTGTTACTGGGGCAGCTGAAGTTAAAAACCGGTAAACGGGATATACCAACATGTTTTTCAGCTACAGGATCAGAATCATGGTTTCTGTGAAGTTCTCAGAGAAAATCTGTAGTTAGGAGGGAGAATTTAAAAGATGAACAGCAGATTTGGAATTATAGTTTTATTTAAAGATGCATTACGGAGTTTTCTAATGACACTGCCCTCGTGCTTAACAAGGTTGGGGTTTTCTTTGCATGCTTTTCACCTTACCTGGAGTTGTCATTGATGTCTGATTTGACACCAAAACTGCCTATGTTTCAAGGTGGGGAAAGTCCCAGGTGGGATTAGGATAATGGGGATAAATCTACTTTATTTGTCACTGCAGTTGTACGTTATGATCAGTTTTGCCCACTGCACTGAATCATTTGCATAGCTTGTGTCTAATGGTCCTGCTCAGGCACCTGGGTGGCAGTCTGTTGATTTGAACTAGGTGTTTGAAGCTTTCTTGGAAAGGAAGTGCTCTGCTCTAACTACAAGGCTAGCTCTCCCCTGCATACATAATGAGAAAGTGTCCATTCTGGCTACAGCTTACAGTTTGGGAGTGATGATTCTCATGAATGGAAGCTGTTGTCATTTGTACACTATGCTTCTCTTAGTAAAAGGGTTAAAGTCACATTTGCTATGCGATGTATTTAAAAAGCACAGTTGCAAAACAGTATGTTTAAAGAAAAAATTTAATCACTTCAATTTTGTTAAATACTGAGGCGCTCGATGCCGTCTTGTCTGCATCAACTGTTTTCACAGATATTGAGCCGCTTCTCCGCATCTGTATGCAGAGCTTTCAACAAAGCCCGATCCCTCAGTGAAAAAGAGTTCAGAACTTTACAGGCATATGTGACATATTTTGAAATCAACCCCCACCAAATTAACATATCCTCATTCAACCATTGAAAGATTGATTTCCAAAGTTACATAGTTCATAGTTCCTTGAATAAGTTTTTAGAAATATCAAAATAAAAGCCCTTGTATCCTGGGAATATGTGTACATTGTGGGGATGATAAAGATCTTCTGACAGAGCGACATTGGGCTTTACTTTGTGGACTTTATTACAATTACAGCTCCTGTTTTGAACTGATAATTTCGATTTTCTAGCATGTGATTCCACACAATTAGTCCTTTATTTGATTCTTTGCTTCACATTGACGCTTTGCTAAAACATATTTCCTGTGTAGTAATGGTTTGCTATTTTTTGTGCACTGCAAACATGCAGTTATTTTTTACGTTACGCTGAAAGGGCCACGCTATATATCAAATAGCAGTCGGCATTATTTTTAATTTTCCATTTTCAGCTCACATTTCATGCTAGCCTGATAAACCAGACTAAAAGTGAGATTAAATGTGTAACTTAGTCTGGTCCCGATAAATGAAATATCGGAACATTGTTGATGAGAACAACCCATTGTTTTTCAAAACGCTGTCTGTGCCTATTGGCCAACGCTCTGACTAATGAGCACAACTGACTGTGACGTAAGCACGACAGAAAGCTGGTGGGGGAGTGTAAACAAACAGCCTGTCTGTAAAACGGCGAATACGTCCTTCTTAAAAATGAATGAGCGTAGAGCCTCTTCCTGCTCACGTTTCAATGAAAACCCCAAGTCTAATCCTTCTAAAACTGATTCCAAAGCTGAGCCAAAAATCGCCATCAGAGCCAGCGGTCCTTCACACACGACTATACCGAGCGGGCCAGTGCAGACGGGCTGCGGTTAGCCCTGGCTGCCGTTATCCTCGGAGGTCTGCTGGTTGCTGCGGCCCTCTCAAGTTCGGAAATTATTTTTTAAATTACGCATTAAATCGGTAAATGGACCATATAGTGACACTTAAAGTATAATATTGTCGCCTCAAATGATATTAAAACTTACTTTTATTGAACAACAGCAACAGAAAAGATAAGTTTTAACTTTCAATGGAGTGCTGTATTGAAAGCTGCTGCTGCCGCAGTGCATGCTACTGTTCAATAGTTGTTGCCAACTTCCTTGTTGTGCTTTCTCCAGCGTCGCACAGCTTTATCGTCACGCCCTCAAAAACCCGCCTGCTTTGCATCCAGAAATTAAAAACACCTCTCTGCGTTGTGATTGGCCCGCCAGTTCTAGGGCCTGGGGCATTGATCAAGCCTAGTCCAAACTCTCAGGCAAAAATTATTTTGCAGCTGGTGGGTGAGGCTAGTTTACTTGGCTAATTTCATGCCACAAATATATCTGCCTGGTTAAAGGCCTTTAGATTACATCAAGACCAATGTCTAAAGTGTATTTTTAGGACTTGATAGTTAAGTTTATGGTAATCCCACATTTTTCTCAGACAGCTTGATGTCCTTTGACACAGATCTATAGTACCGTAGTAGAACTTAAAGGCATGATTGGAAAGCATTGATCTGAATGTCTGGGGCTTTAAATGAGTTCCCCAAAATGATTGTATTGTTCAGTCTTTTGCATATTTTAAAGTATTCTTTGTAATTTACTCTCTTGAAATACTTTTCATCATAATTATTAATATGATTTTATGCTCTAGTGGCATTTATTCTATCATTTTTGAAAATATGCAGACAGGAAATGGGTTAGAGAGAGGGAAGGCATATGGCGAATGTCAGCAGTCCGGGACTCAAACCTGCGATATTAGACCCAAAACCTCTGTACATGGGTCACGTGGTTAACCCCTGCACCGCCACCATCCCTCCAAATGCTTTTCTTAGAAAACAAAACAATTATTTTTCTTTCTTTAATCATGACTGGATTTCTTAAGCTAGATTAGCATGGTTTATTATATCTACTAATATGGATGCCTAAACTCTATAACAAAGCTGAGTAGACTGAAGATCAAGGACAGAAGGCAGGGGTCCTCAGTGGGAAATGATCTGATCCATTTTTCTTTTTATCTTTATCAATCTTTCTTGATTGACTTAATCCATAAAGTCAATGTAAGCCTTCTATGTTGGTCTTGTTTTTCTCTATAAAGCAAAGTCCAAAGTTTTCCCCATCGGCTGTGCAAAGCCTCAACGGGTCACTACTGGACAACAGAAGAATAAAAAACAGGTGAGATTTCCATCATGTTCCAGTAGGGGGCCCCATTCACCAACACTCAGCAATTCCTCACTTTTCTGTTCCTCAGACCTGTTTAATGATTTACAATGTATAAGTTAGATTGTAAAGGTGTGTTAATTGTTCTATAACAGGTCCCAGCTGTCCAGAGGAATTGCATAATAAATGTAAAGAGGTCTGTTATCATAAAGGTTTGTCTTTTCTTGATATTCGGTGCACTTCCAGAATGCTGGTGTGGAAAGTAAGAGCACATCCGGAACCATTTTGGACAAGGGTTCTGATAAGAGCCCCACCAAAGCCAGACAGCCCCGCAAAGTGGACCTGCGTGCTCGATACTGGGCCTTCCTCTTCGACAACCTGCGCAGGGCCGTGGACGAGATTTACGTCACCTGTGAATCTGATCAGAGTGTCTTAGAATGCAAGGTTGGTCTTTTTCTTCTTTTTTTTTTACAATGAAGATGATGAATTTGACAGATCTCTAAAACGGCACAATCTTCTTGGAGAAGCAGAAATGAAGAAATTCAGTCAAATATGTTGGTTACATTTCATTCTTTGCATGTATTTGTGTTCCTTTTTTATTCCTTGCTGCCCAAAAACTCCGACTTTTTAATAGTAATGAGCACTGCATTCAGCATATGTTTATGGACAAGCTCCAAAGTGTTGTAGTTTTACACAATATTAACAAAAATTAGAAATTAGGTTACTCTCCATTTTGCCCAGGAGAAGCGTGTTTTGTGATACCAAGATTTAGAGGTTTTTGACTTGATTTTGTGTCAAGCAAAAAACTGTCTGTAGAATTGCAGGCATTTCAGTTGGTATCCAGTCTAAAATAAGTGAACGACACAATACAATGATTTCTAATATGGGATTGCTTTATAATTGTTTTAGACTTTTAACTTCTTTTTCACTAATATTCAGCAGATTTGTCCTTTCCATTTGGAAAGCTTTGCTTTCCCTCTTATAACCTAAGATGTTCCTTTAATATTTCTACATAACATTTTTTCTTCACAATGTCATTTATTTTGTACGGTGTCTTTTCTGCCTCAAGTCAGCCACACAGCATGATTCCACCACCTCTTTGCATTAGAGTTGGATAGAGTTCTCACCCTTTAACCTCACCTCATGTCCTTGAACCACAAAAGTCATTTAATGACAATATGCTTGCATTTTATTTCAAAAGACCACACAGCCACGCCTGCAAAACTCAATAACTTTTTTTCTGCATTTACAAAATGTAAAGACATTTAAAATCCTTGACATCATCACTATCCAAGCTTTCCCAAGTTGTTCAAAGGCATGGTATAATCTTGATGCATATTGCCTTCTAGAAACAAATTGACCATTAGAAAAATCTCTCTGTTGTGACTCTTGGGGAATTAAAACTAGACATACAGAACAGAATGGGTCTTTTTATTACATGCAAACTTTCTACTAAGTTTCAACTTTTGAGTCTGATGTTCATTTCCATTAGAAGGAATAAAGATGTGTTTCCTAGGCTCAAAGTTTGGATGCCAAGAGTGTTTTAGTCGCCTGTTTAAAGCTTCTGTACTAAGGCTTCTGAACACTAGAGGGAGGCCTTGAGATCACAACACTTGTGTTCCACTTTTTGTTTGATTCTAAAGGGGCTCAGACTTTTAATTTAAGGTTAAAACCCTTTTATTTTAACTATTTAATTCTGAAACACATTTTTTGTTGTTGTTGTTGCTTCACATGTTACACATAGCAAACATCTTTGAAATCTTTTTGTTGGAATGGTTCTGATGGAATTGTTAATAGCTGCTCCAGGAGTTTATGACAGAACCCTGTTCCCCTGCCGTTCTCCATTATGCTGAAAGTGGTTCCGGCGCAGACCCCAGTTCCCCACGGTGGGCTTGACTCGGTGTCCATGCCACGGCACAGCTCCCTGTGGTGTGATAAGCATGCTGTGTGTTGTCATGTGTCAGAAAACAAGCTGCTGTGTGTGTGTTCTGTTTTTTTCCCCCCTTCATACTTTGCTCTCACACCCACTACTCCTTAATGCTTTCTAATGGGCATGAAGTCTTGTTGCTGGTCATAATCCCCTATCCCACCCAGCTCGGGCTTAATGGACACTGATAAATGATGGAGTCATCTGGAGAGGAAGCAGAGTGCTTTGATTAACCTCGGCCACAATCCCCTGGTGAAGCAGTGAGCTGTCTGAGTTGTATGCTCTCACACAAGCAGCTCACCATTTTCCACCTCAAACTTCATGAACATTATCAATAAACTGCATTGATGCAGAATTATTTGCTAAAGCTTTGTCACTGTGATATATTACATGATTTCAAGCAACTGCTGTGTGATGAACCAATGTAAACAATTTTCTGAGCTGAGGAATAAAGGGTGATAATGCTCATGTTTCTTTACCCAGAGCACAAAGGAAAGGTTTTCAGAATTTCAGTTTGCTGGGAAGAGTTATAGTTAAAAATAAAAAAAGGGGAATAGGTTATTTTATTCCAAATTGTATAAAGGAGTAAATGATGAACACAAGATTAATGTGTCTAATAATTTGCTAAACATGGCTGTGCTTGCCATATGCTTTCCAGTCAACTTAAGCATTTATACTCAACTGTATTTAATGTGTTTTGCCTCTCAAACAATGAACATGTCTGATGAGTTGATTATATTTGAAGTAGTTACTGTTTATGCACCACTTTATAATTCTTTGAATATGTTTTTTTTTTACTTCTGAAAAGATAAGCAAATCCTTCTCCATATTGTTCTTCATTACCAAATGAACACCACAGCAATAGCTGAAGACTTTGATGGTTGACCAGCCCTAATCAGCAGGCACGCTGTTAAACACATCTTTCACTGGATTGACTTGTCTATTAACTAAAAGCACCATGAAGCTTTACTCTCAATTACCACTCCCTTCACGCTACACATCAATCAGTTGTGTCTGTTTCATTGCAGCTCAGGGGAAAAGCCGCACACAGGCTGCAGTTTCTGCACAGCCGATGCTGCGACTGAAATAAGCTGTTGTTAAGGATCAGGGTGCTGTTTTGTTCTCCCCTAAAGGGTTCCTGTAAAGGGTTTGTCTTTACACAGATTCTGTATAAAGCAAACCCAAACCGAGACAGGGTGCATTTTCATGTCACAGTATATTCATCAATTTTTTAAAGTTGGAAAAATAGTGTAATGTAATTTAACCTTAATTATTAGTAATTATGTTTTTGTACAGAAAAATAGTTGCTACTTTTAAAATGTTTCCTTTATCGCCCTGGTTTGTCTCTGTGCCTCTTCCAAAGGATGTTTGTTTAATTTATTTAATTGTTCCGCAAGTTGCTTTCTTAGCTTAAGAAATCAGCTGTAGCTCTGATTAAAAACACAAAATCAATTCAAAAGAATTTAGACATTCAGGATTTCCTTCATATTTACAAAAGATTTCTCCTGAAACAGTTTTAGGGATTTTTGCTGATGTTTAACTCGACAGCAATATAATGTTAGCTGGATTAAACCTGTTAATGTTTATTAAACTTACTCCATGCAGTAAAAGATAGTTTGGTTACTTTGGTGTAACATGTGGCACCACGTTTGTTTAGGCCAAACTTTTTAGCTTGGGGCTATTTTAGGGCTGCTACAATAGGCTGAAATTATATTTAGGTTTGTTAAGTTATGAAGTATTTTGAATGTAAGCAAAGTTATTTGCTTAAATGATTTCTAATTCTAAATATATTTATACAATTTATTATCAAATTAGTAATCCTTATTATTATTTTTTTTTTTTTTATAAATAATTGTCTGGTATCTACAGGGGTCCATATTGGCCACTCACATTTTAGTTTTAACTGTAATCATCAGGATAAATGCGGAATTTTTAAAAATTCTTTTCATAAAATTTTTCCAAGTGATGAATTCTGATCATTTTCAGTTTATTACTGTAACAAGCAGCAGCATATGTTTTGAATTATGTTGAGTTGAATAAAATATCGGGTCAAAATCAGTTTTTGTTAGAGAACGGATTTCCTGTGAATTTCCCCACATTTAACCAGTAAAAAAAAAACTTTTATTGATTTTATTTTGTGCATTTGAATACAATATTTTAGCTTAGCCTTTTTTTGTTATAGTTTTTTTTTTTTTTTTTTGCATTATTTATCTTTTTTAATGCTCTTTGCAGGAGGTGTTGATGATGTTGGACAATTACGTTCGAGATTTCAAAGCACTCATAGACTGGATCCATCTTCAGGAGAAGTTGGAAAAAACAGACGCACAGAACAGGTTTTTTTTCCTTCTTGATTTTATTTTTCACTTTTCTTTGTTTCCAAGTCTCATTCCTTATGCTAAATTGCTCCCAGAGGCAAAACTGGAAGTGCGGGTGTCTAGTCCAAGGATTTGAGTCACAATCGAAGAGATCAATAGTTTTGACTTTAATTCAAAGAGATCCATGAGTTTATTGGCGTCTCTTTAACACGGTGACCGCTGCAGTCTTAAATTGACAAAGAAATTAAATTCCAAGTGCTGCCTCCCTATTTGTCCCTTTAAAGTGTACTGTTAATCAATGAGGTAATATGGATCTTTTGCATTTTCTATTTTTTGCCAATAATAGCTATTTAGCTTTTATTCAAATTGCACGAGACGGGTCTGTTGATGAATGATTAAATTTTAGTGTCCTATATGTAAATTGTTCAGGCCGACCTCTTTAGCTTGGGAAGTGCGAAAGATGTCCCCTGGACGCCATGTAATGCCAAGCCCCACGGCAGACAGAATAGTGCCCTCTCCAGGTACACGTCGGGCGCTAAACTTTGGGTAAGCATGTTTTCTTTTGAACTTTAAATCTCTTTGGTATTGACTGTGTGGTTTAAGGATGGCACTTTGAAATGTATACGATTTGAAAGGGCAGACAGTCTGCAGCGCGAAGGCCAATGATTATAGAAGCTTTTGTTTTAATGTGATTTGTTAAGGCTCTCACTCTTCACTTAGAGAATTAGTGGAAAGGTGTAGAGGAAAGCGTCAGTTAAAGACTGCTGAGGCATAGGTTCAATATGTGCACTGCTTTGTAATCTGATGCTGCAGGAAATGGATATTGATCATGACAGCCATGTTGTATAATCTAGTTCTATGCTAGCTCACATTGGAGCCTGCAGGGAAAGCTTGATAGACCGTTTCCTGCAGGCGAAGGGTTGTCATACTCTAAACTATGACTAAATTCATATTTCTAAGCCTGCATTTGCATGATTTCATACATTTGCTTGACTGTTTGTTTCTCTAATTGTCACCAGTGGTCCTACACCAAGTCTGGCCGCCGCTAGGCTCTCTCACACAGGTCCCAGCTGGGCGGACAGAGTAAAGTGCACTCAGGCCACCCACAGTTCCAGTCAACCAACCACATCCCCAGCAGAAAAACCTAGTAAGAGAACACTCAGGGCCCAGCACCATCAAGCACTCAAATGATGATGCATTTATCGAATTTCTGCTTTGTTTTCCAGGTAAGAAAGATGCTGAAGGCTGGGAGACTGTGCAGCGAGGACGGACTGCCAAACCTCGCTCTGCTTCCATGGTTGCCAAGGTCAGTCCTGTCTTGGCTCATGTCCGTGCTAAGCAGGACAGCACCAAGTGTAATCGGTCACATCTACAACAACAGGAAAAGCAACAGCTCCGTCCTGAGTGTCCTCCGGACAAGGACGTGACCCCAGCTGCCTCAGGGCAGCAAGTCACTGTGACTTCTGTCCCAGTGGAGGAGGTTGAACATCCACAGAACGGACACATAATGGAGGTACTAATGTCGAGTACCACATGACATCTTTCTCCTAGAGCCGTCCCTGGATATCAATTATTCACGTGGAGCACTGAAACATTAGATCATTTTATCAGCTGCATTTGTTTTTGTTTTGAGAGCAGTGATATTAATAGGCAAACTGTCCAGACAGGCTTGTCAGCTCTGGAATAATTGATTATATGCTGACATTTTAGAGACAGCTAGGCCCATTTTTATTGCCATGACATAAAAGCTGACAATACATCAAACACACTTGGTAAGTGTGTGTTATAATCTTCAGCTAATGTAAAACAAAGCAATTCTTTATATTTAGTCTATCTGCTCAGATTGACTCAGATGACTAAAGCATGATTAGACATGGGCTGGGAGGAGATTTTCACCAAATGATAACCTAAAGTTCTAAAAACTACAGCAAGAAAATATATTTTCAATAACTAAAGACACAAATCAATCACATGATCTAATGGCTTTCACTTAAGACCCAGAAGCAACAATTATTTTACCCACTGCAAAAATAATTTACCTTATTGATGTTTACTTGTCTAATAATGCTTTCTGTAATGTAATCAGTGTTTAGAGATGAATACATGGACTTTTTGTCATCAAAATAGAAGAATCTTTTAAGATAAACACAGAAAACTAACAAAAGGTTAAAAATAATCAAAGAATAAAGTAATAAGATATATTGGTTGACTTTATTGACCTCACAGTGGAGAAATGTAATCGTTACATCAGCTCAAATAGTCAAAGAAGAATGTGCCAAAGGAAGAAAAAGGAGCAAGGTATATAAACAGTGCATCTACATATGACAGCTTTAAAAAAAAAAAAAAAAAAAAAAAAAAAAAAATTTATAGTAGGATCATTATACCGGGTCATTGCATAGGGAGTTTACATGGGTATTTATATAGATGAATATTTACATTAATATACATTTAGTTATTGTATTAAGAGTCAAAACCTGCGAGTGAGGAAATGGATATGAAAACTTAATCTTGGTAAAACTGTTATCATGGATAAACAAAGATGAAATATTTTTCGAAATCTTAAGAATGTTAAACGTTTTTGTTAATTGTTAGAAAACGTAAAAACTTAAAGCCAGCCATTTCATACATGCTTTTAGGGTTTTATTATGACTATTTGACAGGTGAAGACAGTGATGAACATTATCCTTTAGTGAGTTTTAGTTCAACTGATAGTTTTATTTTCTAAAAGAAGGATTAGGGTTTTTGTACAAGCAGATGTGATGAATATGATGGGCTAATACCACTACTAAGTTATCAATCAATTCTTTGAAATGTGTTGGTAGGCAGTGCTGAGTCTTTGCAGTGGAATACAGAAGTAGTTTCTGTGCTAAAAACGGCACATAACAGTAATCATTGATAAACTTGAGACTGGATTAAGAGAGAAAAATCAAAACATTTGAAATGTGTTTCATGAAATAGGTGAATTTGTTAATGTGGTTCATCTTGATTTAGATTCTAATGTCAGGTTTTCAATCTGACCTGAAAGGTTTATTGATTGTTCTTATATTTGCTAGTTTCTGTCTGAGGATCAGTCTCAGTTATCAAAACAGATTTGAATAAAAATTGGTAATTGCTAAAATTAGTTTCTAAATAGATTTACGTACTGTCTTCGTACTGTTAATGTCTGCAGTCAGCTACCTGACAGATCATCCATTCAAAGCTTGTCAATCATTTCTAAAACTGTGTCCAACCGTGCTCCTTTAATTTCCACACCCTGACTGTCTATTAGTGAGGAGTCCAGCTACAATAATGCATCAGCGCATGCGTCGAGTTTATAGAGTAAAACCCTGTGTCAGTGTGCGTCTTGTTTCAAGAAATTCGTTTGACTGATACAGGTGCTTTTTCTAACTGACTAATGCACTAAACTGTGTTTATAAAAGTATCTGTCAACTGGATGCATCTGCTTACATTTGATCAAATTCATCAAGAAATATTGAGCAGCTTCAAGGCAGATTAAAGTTTGCAGCCTTCAGTTTAAATTTTCCAGTTATCGGAATTTTAAATCTATATTAATTGAATTTTAGTTTACCGTACCTACTGTACTTATTATTTACATTCTTTTTAATTCTAGTCCACAAGCATCCTCATTCACATGTTCACCTAAATGTTCACGTTACATTTGTTCACATTATTTATTGACTGCATCTAAAAATATCAAAGATATTGTCAATTAACTGAAGACATGAAATAATATGGCTTAGAATGACTTAAATTATATTATTGTAGTAGTTCATCAAATCGGTGTTTTCAAAGAGGCTGCATATGGGGAATTTAAAGGTCCAGCAGGTGTCAGTATGACCAGTATCAACTCAGTATCAATAGTTTGCAATGTGTCAGAACGCTTCATGATGCCTCATCAATTTATCACTACTTGTTATTAGATGTCTTTCTTGTAAACAAAGCTTTTCACTCCAATATTTTTTTTATTTAGTTGAATTTTGAAAACTCTGACCATTTAGAATTTTCTCCTGATTTGTCTGGCATCTGATTAAAAGCATTAAAACTGTAGAATGGACAGTTTTTATGTCTTGTAACTTTAATATTTTACATGCTGTCAGCCCATGTCTAAAAGCATGTTAGTTCCAGTTTCCCTGCATGTATTTACTTTCTTGTATGTGGCTGATTACACATTTTTTCATTTAATTTTACATCATGGTAATGAACAGATATGAAATATGCATGTCTTAATTCAGTGTCTGTGTGACTGTTGGTGCAGCCCCTGGCAGAGCCTAAACAACACTCAGAGCAGTGTATCGACGCACCCTGTGAAGACGTGCCTCCCCCTGTAGCATCACTTGTCCCATCCCAGGCCTCAGAGGGCCCCCAGTCCAAAGCCACAGTCCCACCAGCAGACATTATTACTATGTCAATCCCAGTCTGTGCTCAGACCATTACAGCATCCGTCGACCTGCAGCAGACGAATGGGCTCAGTAATCTGTTGGCCTCTCGGGACGCTGGAGCTGAGGGGGGCGCGTCACAGGGCATGACAACATCTGCTCCAGGACAGGCCGAGGCTCCCATGGCAGCGGTGAAACTGGAGAGTGTGCTGGACCCCACAGAGCTTTCTACTGTGAGTGCTGAGAGATGGAGGAGCAGAGGGAGGGGATGGCTGAGAGGGCAGAGATCCCCTAGGGTTCTTTATCGCCTAAACAAAGTCTGCCTCAAGAAACCTTCAGACCAAATGTGCAGACAAGACCCTGCAGCTCTGTTTAGTGTTGGTTTAGCAGCATCCACTGGTAAAAATAGCTGTGACTAGATGACCTATGTGTTGTATAGAATATTTTAAGTCTTTTGGCTAAAATAAATCTTTCAATTTAGGTTAAATCCTTCTTGAAGCTTCAAATTTAATTCCATTATCATATCAATGGTATTCATTTTACCATGTTGCAGTCCATTTTAGGTCATTATAAGCCTGTTTTAAAATTACAATAAGTGAAATATCACCTAACCTGCTCCCTTAAACGCCAGAATAAATGAAACTTTTTGTTCATTAGATGAGGAAAAGTTTATTTCCCTGTTGTTCCGTGTATTCTATTTTTAATGCTACAAAAATACGTCAACTCTCAGATTACTCAAATCCGTAAATAAAGTCGTTCAGTTTCCTCCTTCCACCATCTCTTCACCCTCACTGTTAATGTGCCTTGCATGACTTTTGGATGCTTCCCCCCTTATATTTGTGGTGGTTGGTGGTTGTGCATGCTCATTAAAATCAGACAATCACAGAACCTTGATTTGATGGAAAATATTTCACCTGGTATGATGATCAGAGTTCAATCACCAGCAGTTTAATGCCCCCTTTTTAAAAAAAAAAGTTGTTCAGAATGAGGAGTTTGAAACAATCATGCAATATTTGTCTATAGAAGAGTTTCTATCTCTCTCAAAGGTTTTATTTATTACCAGGTATTGATTTTTAGTTAAGTTAATTAGTTAGTTTATTTTTTGGTTACAAAATAAGATTAAAATCCATTTGTCTAATTTAATTGGTGGATGTGTGCAGCCTCAGTCAATGGCAGAGGTCCTGGCTAAGAAAGAGGAGCTGGCTGACCGGCTTGAAAAGGCCAACGAAGAGGCCATAGCTAGCGCTATCGCTGAGGAAGAGCAGCTGACCAGAGAGATTCTGGCAGAAAATAATGACCTGGAGACCGACAATGAAAGTGATTTCACTGTAAGATAACTCATGCTTAACTTCCAAATGTTTGGCACATATTCCAGCTGTTATGTAAATCTGTTAATTTACTAAAAACAAATCTCTGCTGCAGGCTAACAGCTGTGGAAGTTATGGAGGGAACATGGATTGGAGCGATATGTTAGCTGACTTTGATGGTATGGGATATAACATCTAAATGAACTTTATTTTTTAATGTTAAGTTCAAGCTATGGTCAGAATAGTTTAACTGGTTTTGTTCTCTAGCTCGAGAGTCTTGGCGTCAGAATACCTCTTGGGGTGATATGGTAGAAGAGGAGCCTGCCCGCCCTCCTGGACATGGAATCCACATGCATGAAAAATTGTCATCACCATCACGCAAAAGGTACGAGTATTTTTCTTTTCTGCCATTTTTCATTGTTTGGTTTAGAATCACAAACTTACTTAGGGTTAAATTAAAACAGCCATTGATCCACATCAATGCAATGGTTGATGATCCGAATACATCAATGCAATATTAAAACATTGACTTGCATTGTCATATTTAAGATAATTGTAAACAGATAATCAGTTAATTTTTGTAACTTGAAGATGCTGTTTAGGATTAAATGTCTGATCCCTGTAAGAACTTAGCGATAATATTGTCGAATAATCTTTGAGTTTAGCATCATATCGATTGCAGAACTGTGAGTTGAATTGAATATATTGGAAATCATATCTTGAAAAACTTTGTATGATGATAAAATGTAAGTGGTATCACAAACAAATGATTCTTTTTTTTTTTTTTTTTTTTTGCTTGGCATGTTTGGTTACCTTCTACAATTCTGAAGCAGATGGATGAATTATTACTTTCTATTATCCTTACAGAACAATTGCAGAGTCAAAGAAGAAACATGAGGAGAAACAACTGAAGGCACAGCAGCTGAGGGATAAACTTCGTGAGGAAAAGACACTCAAGTTGCAGAAACTCATGGAGAGGGTATGTCAGCTGACCTGATGGATAGGTCCCTAAAGAAACTCCATTCAAACTATACTCATACTGGCTTACAACGAGCCCCTCTTTCATCACTCTGCCTGATAGAATCACTAAAGATTAAAACTCTGCAGTCACATTGAGGCCAGCTGGCCACAGTCACACTTGGGATCTCTGGCCAAAATCTACAGCCTTTCATGAGGTTTGTTTTCATTCTGCAAGCCATAGCAAAATGAGAAAATCTGAGAATAAATTGGGTTAACCACATAAATTCAAAAAGTGTGGTTTATGGGTATTAAGTCCCACAAGGATGGACAGGTGAAGACAGTAATTGGACAAAAAAAACACTGTTTTGTCTTTATGAATCTATTATCCATACATCTTTTTTTTTAATCTTACCAGCTAATCACTCTTCACTTTCTGCAGGAGAAGGATGTGCGAAAATGGAAAGAACAGTTGTTGGACCAGCGTCGGAAGATGATGGAAGAAAAGCTGCTGCATGCTGAGTTCAAGAGAGAGCTGCAGCTCCAGGCCATTGTGAAAAAAGCTCAAGAAGAAGAGGCCAAGGTAGAGAAGGGAATCCCCCCCCCAAAAAGACTTAACAGTGTGTCTAGTTTGGATAATCAGCATTTTGTTTACATTGTCTAATACCAATTTCTCTTCTATGCTACATTAGGTGAATGAAATAGCTTTTATCAACACCCTGGAAGCCCAAAATAAGAGGCATGATGCTTTAGCCAAGTTAAATGAATATGAACAGCGCCTTAATGAGCTACAGGAAGAGAGACAGAGAAGACAGGAGGAGAAGCAGGCCCGAGACGAGGCAGTTCAGGTTGGATATTCATTTATTGATTTATTTGATGTGTCATTTAGACATTTAGATACATGTTTATTTTGTGATTTTCCTTTTTGTCTTGTAGGAACGTAAGCGGGTCTTGGAAGCAGAGCGGCAGGCGAGAGTGGAAGAGCTGCTGACGAAGAGAAAGGAGCAGGAGGCTCGTATCGAGCAGCAGAGGCAGGAAAAGGAGAAGGCTAGAGAAGATGCAGCACGGGAAAGAGCCAGGTTAGTGATCCTGAACCTGGAGGTTTAAACTCGTATTTAACTCCATAAAGTTTAAATACAATAAATTATATTCCTATATAATTAAAATATATAGGGATATGCTGACATTCATTAATTTCCTACTAAGTGAGATATATTTTAATGATTTCATCTAATGATGCACCAGTCTTATGCTGGGAATTCTTATCAATGTAGTAGATCGTTTTGTTTTTTTTTTGTTTCATTACAGAAATGGCAACCTAATCCACTCATGCAAAACCTTGCAAAATATTCATACTCCTTGAACCTTTTACCACTTTGTTACCTCAAAACCACCAGCCTGTATGCATTTACCTGGTACCGTATATGATGGCTCTGATTATAGAGTGGGATGGAAAAGCCACATGGATTTTGGATCCTTTTGCCATACATTTTAATTTAGCACCATTACTCTTTAAAAACCCTTAATACAATCAGCTGCAACCAGTCGTCTTTTATAGATTACCTAATTACTGTAGTAAATAAGGTTCAGTAATGTGTAACATGATCTCAATTGTTCTGTGAATGTCGCAAAGGTTTGTTAAAGATAATAAAATGCATTAGAGAGGATAAATGCATTGAGCTTTTGATATCTCACAGGTCATTGTTTAATCATGCATGGCTGTCCACCTAAAGTCTTCTTCTAGAGTCTGACTTTCTTACATTACTTTTGCAGGGTTGATTGATCAACTAAGGGGTCGATTAGATTTATCAACGCAGAGAAAAGTTAGGTTTTAATACTTGAAGTTTCATCCGATCTGAGTCAAACTGATCACTTTTTAGGGGTATAGATACATAGATTTAAAATATTAGGCAATTATTTTTATTATCATTCAAGCAACATGAGGTATGGAGGTATTTACATTTAACTGCATGTTGTTAAATCTAAAGGGACCGTGAGGAAAGACTGGCTGCTCTTAGCGCTGCGCAGCAGGAGGCCATGGAGGAGCTCCAGAAGAAAATTCAAATGAAGGTAGGTGTTTACCCTTCTGCTTTCTCTGACGTTGCAATAATGTCTGCTTCCTATACAACCTACATTTTTGTTTTTGGGTCCTTTACAGCATGACGAGAGCAGTCGAAGGCATATGGAGCAAATGGAGCAAAGGAAAGAGAAAGCTGCTGAGCTGAGCAGCGGTCGACATGCAAACACAGACTACGCCCCTAAACTGACACCGTATGAACGCAAGAAACAATGCTCGCTGTGTGGTGTTGTGGTATGTAAAGTTTCAGGGTTTACTCTGTTTTCCTGTAAACCATTATATTCACCCGCCAGTATTAAGTGAGTGAATAAAGCTACCTGAACCGAAATTAATCAGATTTCCTATCAAGCTCCTCATTTAAAAAATATAGATTAAACAATCTAAAGCAATTTTTGATGTTAGTCCATTATTAAAAAAAGAGAAAAATGGACCCACCTGAAAACACCCGTAGTTTAGGGCACTCTAATGCAATTATTGTCCGTCTCCATATAAGAACAATGCTGACATAGAGATGATGCTTCTTAATAGTGTTCATTTGAATTTGGATGTCAAAGCATTTATAAACATTATATAGGATTGACCAACTCACTCCCTTAAAAAAAAAAATAAGCAGCTGCCATGACAACAAGGGTGGGGCGCCTTGGCACTTCCAGCCACCATCAGATAAAGAGAAGGGTCAAGGGCAAGATGGGGAATCTTGTTAAAATGTTAACTGACCTCATGCTAACATCTGACACCAGAGATCACAGATGGGTCAGCAGTGAGCACTTTGTTTAATGACATTAAACACAAACCGCCTTAAAATGGGCCTGCTTGCAGAAAATGATTTAAAAAAAATATTTCTGCTTTTGCCGTTACTTGTTTTGATGGCAGTTTATCAGACAAGCCTTTATATAAAGACCTCCTTGAACAAGTATTCATACCATTTAAACTTTTGTACATTGAAAAAGCACATACTTCCATGTAGATTATTTGGATTTTTATTAAGTCAACACAAAGAAGAAGATTATTAGGATTTAAAAGGATTAGACTTTGGCAAAAATTTCGTTCTCTAGATGTGGCAAGATCTGCTGTTTACATGTGATCACTGCTGCGCTTTAAGAAATGCTAATGTCAAATGAGCTGTACAAAACGAAATTTTGTTTTGTATACGCTCTGTGTATACAAAATGACGTAAAAAAATGTGTCTAAGCCTAAATCCTCAAGAGTGTACATTGAAAGGTGGCTTTGATCCACATGTGGCTCAATTCTCTTTATACATCTAGCTGAGACCTAAATTATTCATATGTAGAAGTTAAATAACTTTAATTCAGTTGCTGATCAGCTCATTGAATGTTTCCATTCAATTGAAAGCAATTGCTGTAGAGTCAACAACACAATGCTAGTGAATTTTTCGTCTCTACATGCTCTTGCAGGAGAAGCTATTTCTGCAAAGTCAATGACTTGATTCAGTCAGCTGGGTTTCTGTTGATGGTTTTTGTTTTTTACCAATTTGAGTTTATGATCCTATAAAAAAATCGTCTCTATTACGAGTAGTTGGATTACTTTTGTACTAAACTGTAGCACAACGGGTTTTTTTCAGCTTATTTGTATAAATAAAATGTTGAAAAAAAAATCTAATGTTTTCTCTTGCCTCTAAAATCCGACTATAATAAATGCATGGTAGAAACTCAGCAAAACTATTATATGAACTTTTTTTTTTTTTTTTTTTCAAGGCACTGTACATCCTGTGCAGGTGTATTGAGTCGCCGCAGCATGTTTGGTGTGTTTTGTTTCTTTTCTTTAAACGGAGGTTTAGGAGCCATAGATTGCCCCATTGTGCTTATCTGGGTGGTGTATTGTTTCACCAGGGTAAAGAGGGGCCCTGCTGACCCTTTCTTACTTCTGTCTCTATTGTGCTCATTGCGGTGACCTCTGACCACCATGTTTGTATTTGCAGATCACCTCAGAGGTCCACCTGTTCAGCCACACCAAGGGCAAGAGGCACCAGCAGGCGGTGCGAGATAGTAGCAGCATCCAAGGCCGGGAGCTCTCTGATGAGGAAGTGGTGCGTAACACCAACACACTGCCATGAGCAAACAATCTCTTCATTCTGTCAAAGACTACTGCCCTGCTGCTGCTTGTGTTATGTAAATAGACAAAGTGAAACAGCAGTTGTCCTTTATGATGTAGGCAATGTGAGCATTTGTGCATCCTATTATATTCTGCCACGGCACTGTTGCTGGCTTTGTAAGGTTAGAAATGAGCCTTAAAATGTACATAGTTAGGCTTGAGTGAAGGTTTGATGTTACCCTGTTGTTGTCTCTAGTGGGAAAGCAGCTTCTTAATAGAGCGTACTCTCTCCGGCTGCAATATGAGATTGGCTTTACAGCTAAGCTCATTGTGTTGCCGACAACTGCTAGTGTTAGAAGCGGCACCTTTGGTCCTTCTTGCATGCTTATTTTATCATTAAATCCCATAGCAGTGCAGGTCCAATGCAGTTAAATGACCTAAAACCAACCTGAAAGATCTCAGAAATGTGTTTCTTTTTTAAAGATGATCAACAATATATAAATTATTCCTTTGGGATTTTTCTAGAATTGGAAAATATAGTTTGATTGGGTCTGAGTTTTTACATTTCTGCATTCTTTTATGCTTTGAGTCATTTGAAACGCCATCTGTAGCTGCACTACTTTTAACAACAAGAACAGAACCTCCAAAGTTATAATTAAAGTCAACAGTCTAAAGTAGTTTAAAGCAGCAGAGCAGGGAGTTTAGGTGATGTTCACATAGCAGTAAAATGCAACTCTGACTTTGTTATGGCACTCTGAAAGGCCCAATTCTGATCTCTTCAACTCTGAATAAATCTGGTGTTTCCAAATTTGGTGCTAAATTAAATATGTGTTTGATAGTTTTCAAAGCATCAGCCGACAGAATGGTCATTTATCCGACTTACACAACTTTGTGCTTTTTAACTCTGGCATCTAATCAAGCAAGTTGATTAATCCAGTCATGACTTGCACTTCGCTTTAAGGCAACCTGAGGTTTCAGTGTTGCCACAGCATTTTATACAGTCTGGCAGGTGGAATGTAACCAGGAGCTAAGGTAATTTGTGTCATGAAATACAATCTCAGGCATGAAAACATTTTTTATTGAAGAGGTTTGTGAACCTGGCAGCGGTCGGAGGGTTAATGTTATGCCCTTGCTCAACAGGAGTGTTTGTTTTAAAAGTTTTTTAAAAGACCGATGATGTGATTTAGCAACACAGCATCTCATTTCTTCAAGCTGAAGACAGACAATCCAAAGGTTAACACAATATTTACCAGTGAGGCTAAAAAAGTTATTCACCAAAGGACGTTCAGGAGAATGAAAAGGATGTAAAAAGAGGGCATTTAGGGGGTTGGAAAATAGCTGCAGACAAGATCGGTGTAGAGTAGATGATTAAAAACTCCCTAACTTTCATGGGTAGCTAAAGAAACTGCAATCTAGCAGCAAAAATTCAGGAAAGGGATTTCTGTAGTGCTTTAAAAGTAAAACCCACAGAGGATGTCCTAACAGAAGATTATATTTTAAAAGAAAATAAACAAGACTTTATGGAAAACAAAATCAGAAAATTAAGTATATGTACAATCTGTCCAATAAAACAACCTAATTATGATTAAGATAAGTAGCTGAAATGCTGGACTTGGTGTTTATTCAAATAAAAATGACACTAAAAGCCATATGACAGTGGTGATTTTACTGTTGTGGTATGAGGGCTTTACAATAACACCAATATCATGAGCAGCTGCAACTAATGCAGCTGTCGATAAACAAATCCTGTCTAATAAACAGTTATACAAGACTGGGCTTTAAGATGGATGACAGGCCACTTGGTGTCAGGGAAATGGAGAAATGTTTTCAGTGCTATCATATTTCTACTATCAGAGCCAATCTGTGATATTAGGCTAGAGTTGCGCCCTTCTGTTTGACTTTGCAGGTTTGTTGTTGTGGTAGATGGCTCTCCGTCATCCCATCTGAATCTTTTTACTTTTAAAAGCAGCAAAGAAATGTAAATGTAAATCCCTTTTTTGTCCCACTTTTGGGAAATTCAGTCTCTGCATTTGACACATCCCCTTTGGGGCAGTGGGTTGCCATTGTGTGGCGCCCGAGGAGCAGAGTTGGGTTAAGGGTTTTGCTCAGGGGACCAGAGTGCAAGCTGTGGGGATCAAACTGGGTACTTGCAACATTCTCAGAGCACAAGCGCTCTGCTCTACTCACTAGGCCAACACTCCCAATAATTGAAGTTCATGTCACAGTATTCTTTAGCAATATTTGATATAACTGTGATTTTTGTAACCTATGGTATTTTTGGATTTAGATGACTATAATGACTAAAACTGTTTCATTAGGGTAAGTGGCCATGATCAAAATAGCCTCTCGATATATGACAGGTTAGCTACTTCCTGATGACAAGACAGCTACGGCCGATCCCCAGTATCAGTGACTGGAGGGCAAAGTTGCATACATGTAATAAGAACAGAAACTCACGCTTTGTAGATAACACAACAGCTCTATATGCAGTCAAGTTTTTGTTTTATATCCGTTTATTTTAATAAATGTTGTGAACAATTACTTTACTGTTAAAAATGTTAGTTCTTTAGATATAGATTCATTGATTAGTTAGGTTTTGTTTAGCTCGTCACATGAAAATTTAATTGGCTCAAACATGTATTTTATTCTGATCTTATTTTTATGATTTAATTTTATCAAAAACCCATTTAGATTTAAACATTTAGTTGTCAGCATCCAGTATGGTTGTGTATGTTTGACATAACAGCAAAACACTGTTTCGGACAGTTGCTAAAAACATATAACTTGTCCTACTTTATAGTCTTGCTACACAAGGAGAAAAATAAAACTTGCAGACATATAGAAACACTTGGGGTTTGACCTCTAAGTTTTATGTTTAAAATGGAAATTATCCTTGTATTCTTATGGAAAAAGACTGTTTTACTTTCTGTAGGTTAAGTTTGGATTCACTCTGTACTTTAGTGAGACTAATCTGCTGTGCACAATTAAGGGTTTTTATTACCCCTCTCAGCGACAGCCTCCATTCAGGCAGCAGGTGCAGGAACAACACTTGACCAAAGGGTATGGTATCCCACACACAGGTTAGCTTCACTGCTGAATAGAAACTCTTAACTGATGGCCATCCTATTCTCTTGGGTGTTAGATGACAGGATAATTGGGTAATTGGTTTCTTGCACATATATCATACTATTCAAATTTGGTTACATTCCCCTGTCTGCTGGTGGAAACATCAGAACCATCTGACAGCGTCCAGACAGAAAGCAGCCCCTCCAGCCTGCTTACATGTCTATGGGTGGGCTTGTAGGTAGAAAACCAAATGGAGTATTTGAGGTGTTCACTGAGTCAAGTGGCATTACCAAGAAATGCCCCAAAGTGTTCATCGTAGGTGCATTGAAAAGTCAAATATACATTAAGTTACAAGCAGGGGCCATATCACATCGTGTGAGAGAGCTTACAGTTTTTTAGCAGGGTTCAACTAAAGTTTTTCAACTAAGGCAAAACATAATGGGAATCATACTTTCTTATGGGTTTCAGCATTTTATACACTGTTCAGAAAAATAAAGGGAACACTCAAATAATGCATCCTAGTTCTCAATGAATTATTCTCATTTAATATTTTGTTCTGTACAAAGTTGAATATGCTGAAAACAAATTCAATGTTATATCCTTAGAACAGGTCAAAATGAGGCTCAGTATTGTGTGCGGCCTCCACGTGCCTGTATGACCTCCCTATGACGCCTGGCCATGCTCCTAATGTGGTGTCTGATGGTCTCCTGAGGGATCTCCTTCCAGACCTTACTAAAGTATCCGCCAACTCCTGGACGATCTGTGGTGCAATGTGTGCTCAATTGCATTCAGGTCTGGGGAACGGGCGGGCCAGTCCATCAATTTAGTGCCTTCACCTTGCAGGAATTGCTGACACTCCAACCTCATGAGGTCTAGGATTGTCCTGCATAAGGAGAAACTCAGGACACACCTCACCAGCATATTGCTCACCAGGGGTCTGAAGATATAATATCAGTACCTAATGACAGTGATGGTACCTATAGCGAGCACATGGAGGGCTGTGGGGACATCCAAAGAAATACCACCCCATACCATTACTGACCCACTGTCAAACAGGTCATGGTGATGGATGTTAAAGGCCGCAGATCGCTCACCACGGTGTCTCCAGACTCCATCACATGTGCTCAGTGTCAACCTGCTTTCTTCTGTGAAGAGCACAGCGCAGTTTGGGGGTTTTGAGACTCCTGATGTTTTCTGGCAAATGCAAAGCATCCTGCATGGTGTTGGGCTGTGAGCACAACCCTCATCTGAGCACAGGCCCTCATACCATCCTCATGGAGTTGGTTTCTAAGCTTTCGCTCGGAAAGATGCACATTTGTGGCCTGCTGGAGGTCATTTTGCAGGGCTTTGCCAGGGCTCCTCCTGTTCCTGCACAAAGTCAAAGGTAGCGGGCCTGGTGACTATCTCCTTGTTTTTTTTTTGTTTTTTTTTTAAGCTGATACAGATCACAATTATAGCTTTTTCTTCCTACATTTACGTGATCAAAATGACAACAAATGTGATGTAGTTCTGAATTAAAACAAAGAATAATTAGCATTTTCAAATTGATAGAGCGATGATGATTGCTCTTCTTGTGGTCTCAAGGCAATGCTGCTGAAGGTACTAATGAATCGGCAATTCAGCATTTTCGCTGATGGCGTTTTAAAACCACAAAAACCAGCTAATACTGGCCAAAAATATCAACTGACCGATGTAATGGTCTATAATCTGGTGTGTTCGGTGACTCCTTCTGATAAGCCACCTACTCATTTACTTTGTATAGATGTTTATGTTACATTTTTTTGCAAACCAGTAATACATTATTGATTGAAATGTTGTGAATACCTTCCACACTTGATAACATATATTTTCTATGCATTTTTCAATTTTCTTTTTAGGAGCATCTGTCCTTAAAGAAGTATATTGTGGACATATTGACAGACAGCTCCGTTTCCTCTGAGGGTGTGAAGGATGGAGAGGAGCGCCAGAAAGCACGGAAGAAAGCAAAGAGACTTCGTGCCAGAATGAACTCCAGGTAATAACATCCTGTTTTTCTCTAATCCTGGCCTTCTGTTTTTCACCTTGCTTGAGCCTTATCTTCACACAGATACTCAAGACAGAACTGAATTATTTTTAATATAAGTGTCAAGGAGACAGAAAGCTGATTATATTTACATCCTGGCTGTCTACAAAATTGCGCTGATGAAGTTAATTTATGGCCACTTTCTGTGATTGGGGAGCAAAGCTGCAGATCGATCCATGGGTCCTTTCTTTCGCCCCTATAAAGAGCTCTTCTTCAAATTGCTGCCTTTAGCACTGCCAAATCTTAAGTCTGTTTCAGTGTAAAAATATATGTTGAAGTATGTATGAGCCATGCGTATTTTTCTGTAAATCAATAGTGGTTTACAAATAGGACACTGTTGTGTATCATAATGTGGGCTTCAACTCTGTCAGATTAAATCACTGTCAAAGAAGAGAGATGAATAGACAGAGACAATTTTAATGGTAATCATTGCCCCACACTGACAATATATTCCAAAATGTTTCAGAAAAGTCTGCTAGAACCACCAAAATTGTTTAGGATTTGGGATGTTGAACACATTTAGACTTATTCAATGCCTGAAAATTGAAATTCTGAGCTTCTATTTTGAGGATAACATAGGGCTGGTCAAATAATCCATAATATCAATGAATCTGTTTTTTTTTTTGTTTTTTTTTTTTCTTTCTTTTTTTTATAGTAATGGTTTAATTTGGGGGAATGCTCCTGCTGAGGATTTTTCCCCCACTATTGCACCAACTTACTGGCTGTGTAACCACTAGCTGCAAATATTTAGTTTATTGTTACAAGCATTGTCACAGCTTGAAATTTGTTGCCCTTTAAATTAGGGCTGAAAAAAATTAAGCAGATTAATCTTAATAGATTATTTAAATGATTACCAAATAATTTAGTAATCGATGAAACATTAACTGGAGTAAAGAGACTCTAAAACTTGTCTTTAGCTGGCTGAGCAACCCACTTAGACCGGAAATTATACCAAAATTGTTTAAAAAATATCTAACCATTTTGCATTTACGATAAAAAGAAAATAAATTAATTAAATAAAAGCTAGTTTTTGAAAATAATTTATGTCACCCTTCAACTTATCATCTAGATTTTCTGTTCTTAAAGCAGACAGTGTAATATGCTCTAGTAGGGAGCTATCCTCGTGGTTAACTATATTTCATTCTATTTGTTGGATCATTTCATTATAATTTTATAATTGATTTCAATCTACAAGAAGTCTAGTCTGACAAGAACAGTGAAATGACTGGACATCATTTAGTAAAGGCCAATGAAGTTTTACAGTCATTATTGCTATTGAATAATGCTTCTCTCATAGCGTAATCCTATCATATGTGGTATTATGCATTATTGCTGAACTCCTGCTCTGTAGTTTAGTGACTAACTGAAAAGCAGACTTGCTTCTGTGAAGCTTATTTCCCTTTATTTTCATAATGGTTGTGTAAGACAGACCTCTTTTTTTCAGCCCTACTCGCAGATAAAGTATGAATCATAAGAGATTTGTTAAGATAATATATTGTTGTTATGCTGTCCACAAGAGTGTATAAATTTTTAAAACGACTAAAGAGACAATTAGAAGCTTAAACAGCCATCCATCTTCTACACTTTATTCTCTGTACTTGTGTTTTTTTGCCTTTGAGAGTCTCAGTGGTCCTGCGAAAGTGACAACATGATCTGCCTCTGTTCACCATCACTCCACAGCAGGCCCACTGAGACCAGCACTCAAAGGCTGCAGCCCTTTAGAGGTCATAAATAACACAGGGCTCCCGTAAACATAGAGGTGAGCCACTTCACCGCTGGGTGGAAATGAACCATTTTATTGAAACACCGCGTGGCGTCTTTAAAAAGTAAGAGGTTCCCACAGCATTTGTCTCAATGCTGAAGTTAAGTACTGGTTTTTTCAGAAATTGGAATCACATCAAGCCAGCTTTTATTTTGATCCCCATTCTCCAGTAATGAAATGCAGTTTTTTATGTTCATTTTTTTTTTTTTTTACCCAGCGTTTTTTGTCATCACACTGTCACAAATACAGAGCAACAAAATTTACCCTCTGTATTTATCCAATCCCCTTTGGGAGCAGTGGGCTGCCATTGTGTGGCGCCCAGAGAGCGGTGTGGGGTTAAGGGTCTTTGCTCAGGGAACCAGAGTGGCAGTCTGTGGGAGTGGGGCTTGAACACAGAACCTCTGGATTCCAAGCGCAATGTAGTCTGTAGTCTCAGTAGTATGCCAACCCATGACTGGTCTATACTCACAAACCGATGTCTTCACCACTCTGGTGTAATCTGCTCGCCAGCTGATTGGCTCCCTGTGGTCCAGTGTGCAGAAAATGCTGCAGACATTGTCTTTTTGCGTTTGAGCACCTTAAGGATAGTGGTTTGTGTGTGTGTGTGTGTACAAACACTGTTGCCAACTTGACTATTTTGTCGCTATATTTTGCAACTTTTCAGACCGCTCTAGGAACTATTAAAAAAAAAGAAAATTTGCAACAAATCTAGCGACTTTTAAAAATGTAAAAAGCACAGATCACTCTGAGTTTGCTGTCTTCAGTGAAGTTCTCCTAAAAAGCACTGTCAGGCAGTCGGACTCTGCAGCATTCCCTGCTTGCAGTCAGAGAGAAGAGCTGCTTCACTCATGATGAGGCACACATTCGCGTAGCTTCCACTGATCCATCCTAAAACAGGATGTAAATATATTTAACATGTTTTGTTTTTTTTCTTTAAAAGTGTAAAAAATGCATAACTTCCTGTATTTAATTCACACAAAGCTTCATGGGCTGTATGTCTCTGCTAACTGTGTTTAGGTTGAATTTGATAACGCATGAAGACTGATTTATGTAATTTAATTCAGGTAAAGTATTAGTGAATACTTGCAATTATTGTATATATGTTGTATTTAGGCAGTGATTGACATAGATTTGACCTATTGTTAGGATAATTATCATTGATCATATTTAGAAAGAAATTACAAAAGCACATTGATAAGAATTTTACCCAAATACATAAATTGAACACAACTAGATGTCAAGTTATTTCTATAACCATTTTACCCTCCTTTAGTCCAGAAGGAATATTTTTTTTTTTATATCTATATAAACAGTTAAAAGGGATAAACTGAGATTTAGAAGAAAGAAATGTCGCCTGAAAACAAGTGGAAACAAATAGGTTAGTCTACTGGAAAACATTTAATCTTTTTTTAATTGGTGCAGAAATGAATTAAAGAGGAAGTTAAAATGATTCTAACTCATTCGATATACACATGCTTTCACTTTAGTTGACTCCTGTTTTTTTTTCTCCTTTGTTCATATTTAAATTTACTGTAATGATAAAAAAAAAAAATACTTGATGTTGAAAACATAAATGGTCTCTTCTGTTCTTTCGTTTCATGCCTTATTTTTCCCTTCTACTTCCTTAGTATTTGAATAAACATCTTATTGCACCTGGCTTAATGTACTTTTTTTTTCTTAATGCCTTCACAGTTTCTTCACAGCTCAGCGTTATTGTTTTTTTTTGTTTGTTTGTTTTTTTCCCCATGAATATCTGGAAAAGTATTTTGGGAAGGTTGTAAATTGTTTTCTTGTTATTTCCTTTTGATTTTTTTATTTAAACACCTATCAAGTGAGCAAACATATTCTGACAATTGAATGCTTGAATAGTGCAGCTTGTTGTCAGTGGCTCAAGAGAACGTTGGTCCAGAATTGATAAAGAGGAAGATGGACAAATCTACTTGTCAAATACCTAGAAGCGTCTGATTCCATCAGTCATGAGACTGATTACTGGAAGGCTCTTCTTCAAACTTTGATCAATAGTTTCTTATCATGTTTGGGAAATGCTGATTAAAATGTATGCGCTCTTTATCAGATTTCTATTTCTTACGGATTAAAATAATGTTTTTGCCTGCTGTCCTGATGCCACTAAAATGTCATTCTTTTTGTTTTATTTACTTCTGTATTATCTGTATGTGTGATTGCAATGGAAGTTTGATCCCATATTCTCAAGGATAACAAGAAAATGTAAGGAAGGAATTCTAGCAATTAAGTGTTGATGGGAAGACTTGAAGCCAGCTAAACAGTTGTCCCTACTGACCTAAAGTCTGATTATTTTAAGCAGAGGTGCATGACGATTGGCTGACAGGCCAAATAAACGGAGTTGGTTTGAACTGTTTTCTCACCGTTGTCCCTCTTTGATACTCTGCTTCCTTTACTGAAAGACCAAGGTCTTGTTTTTGTTTCATGTGTTTAAAGACGTTTTCCTACTTCTCATTTTGCAGAGCAAAGGAATACGAGACGTCAATGGAGGCCAAAAATCCGGTGCCCGACTCCCCGTACAAAGCTAAGTGAGTAATTATTAAAGTCAATAGCGCTTGATATTTTTAAGGATTTTTAAAATAATCATTTTCCTACAGTTTGGGGGAAAAAATCTAAAGAAGTCATAACATTTCTTGATTTAAGATTCTTTAGTTAATAGTAACTTCTTTTATTCAGAATTACTTCTTTTTTTTTGTTACAAGACCAATTTTATTGCAAATTGATATTTATGCATCCGATTCCTTTCTCTTTTATTTTTAGGGTGCTGTTTTGTCAGATTCTCTTTTTTGTTTCCTTATTTCTTCTATATGGTTTCTTTGTTTAATTTATTGTAAGATGTTTTTCATTTATATGAAGCAAGGTATTTTTTTTCCAATTATTCTTTATTTCATTACATCTGTTACACATCTATGTGTACTTTTTCTAAGCTGAGTCTAGCTCTTTCATAGTAGATTCGGTATTTGTTTTACTATTTATTGACATTGAAGGAAGAATAAATTAACTGTTTGGAAACAATAACGCTCCATAATAGCTACACTTATTTATAGGCATGCCATGAGTTTTTTTTAAAGATCTTTTTTAGAGTTATTGTACAATCATTTGATGATTTCATCCTTATTTTTAGATGTGTTGGTTATGTTTAAACTTAATGAGATAAAGTTTTAGGTAAATCTATAGTAAATGTCTCTCTTTTGCTTTCCTTCAGATTACAGCGTTTGGTAAAAGACCTAATAAAGCAGCTGCAGGGCCAAGATAGTGGACAGTGGGCCAACAACAAAGCATCTGGACTGGACAGAACTCTGGGAGAAATCTCCCGCATCCTAGAGAAACAGGTACACGAGCAGGTCAATCATACGGTGCCAAAGTTTAGGTTTATGACTTGTTTTTTCTTTTAGTTTTATTTTTGGGTCTTATTTTGTGCCAAACATCCTCCCCGACTTTGTTGCTATTATCTTTTTATTAATTCTTAGTTTTTGTTTGGATTCCCCTTAAAGGCTAGTATGTCCTCTGTAGGAGCTTTGCTGTAAAGCCCAGACTTAAAAAAATAGGCTTTAAAAAAAAAAAAAAAAAAAAAAAAGTGGAAGTTTTCCATCATACTGTTCCTGCCATCTAAGCATATTGAAAAAAATGTATTTCATCAGAGAGAGTGCTCCGGTTGTAAGCTTCTGCAGCATCTCCTCCAGCTCAATCCTGTTTAGTTGCTACCTCTACAGGTCGACTGCTGTGCTCTGAAAATTATTTAAGTAAACTTAATGGGAAAACTTCAGCTTCCTCAAGATTAGGGACAACAATGGCTTAAAGGAAGAAGGTTGAACTACGTGGCATCAGGTAGTGCCAGCCAGAGGAGATAAAACGGCTAATATGATAGCTCCACGGTGGGAGCATCACCCAGCACTATTTGTTAAATTAGAGGTAAAGTTTATGCTGTCTTAAAATGAACAAGCTACTGTTATTGTAAGGTATTACTACAGGGTTCCCACTGGTCCTTAAAAAGTCTTAAAAGGCACTGAATTCTTCAAAATAAAACTATGGCCTTAATTGGTATATAAAATGTCTTAAATCAGTCTTTCATAGGTCTTAATTTTTTTCAAAACAACATTAATAGGGTTATTTTTATCACAATTTATTTTTGTAATCTTAATAAAACGTTAAAATGCAATACTGGCCGGACACCACGCTAGACACAGATTCTACTCAGATGATGTGTCACAAATACAAGAACCAAACCAGAGCTGCAGGAACCAAATTATGTCATTGTGTTCTTAGATAGGGAGCAGATTCCTCTGTTCTTCCAGAGCGTAAACTCCCATAGTGTGTTTTCACCATTTAGATGTTCCAAATAGAGTAGCGTCCATGCACAAGAACAAACTGCGTCATTGGTTTAGACGGCTGTAAATTCAGTTTACCAATCAAATAATTTAATAAGAGCGAGTGAACTGCTCAAAGTTGTAAATTATATCCATATATGCAACAGTTGAAACATCTGCTCCAGAAGGTTTTTTTCTTAATTCACACATTAATTTGAAGCTGAAGGAATTAAGAATTTAATCAACTGTCTCCATGCTTATGATGAAGGAAATATACAGCCCACTTCCTGTAACGAGTTATAAATTTCCTGGCTTGTTGTGGTTCGAACCCCTATGCGCATGCTTTGGGTGTGAGGATGGAGACATTATACTGCTCTGACTGTAACGACTTGGGCGGCTGGAGAGGCCATTACCAAATTTCCCCAGAGAGCTAGAGAAAAAGGTGGCGAAGGTGGGTGGCAGAGCATCCTGTAAGCAATGAGGAGGAGACAAGCATGATAGGAGTAGCAGTCAAGCTGTTGCTACATGAGGGCCCCTCCTCTTAGCACACAAACTCCCAGCGGGAGATCAGGGGTCAGTGGGCCACGGGCTCCATTCACCAGCAGAGTCACAGGAAAGATGCAGATCAAGCCTCTTTCTGCTTATGTTTGCTTTGCCTTTTACCCCAGTTTAAAGCATATTTTAAACACTTTTACTTTAGCACCTACCTTCATCAATATACATTTGTTCGGTAGAACTGTGATTCAGACTTGGAGCAGATCGGGGACCACTCTCCCCTCTAATCTTTTGACAAATTTAAATAAATAGTGTCTCCGTCAGCATTGCTGTCTGGCCTATGAGTCACTTTGAGTTGAAGCCATTTAGATTATTTGACCTAACAAGCATCTCTCGTGTCATAGACTCACCTAGAGATTTGTTTTTCTCTTCCATATCTGATTCAGTCTCCACTTTCTCCGCTAATTCCTTAGACGGCATTCAGCCCTCCTATTCTGCACCGTTGTTTGTCTCCCCTCCCTCCCCCCTTACATCTGAGGCTAAATCTAGTTTCTGACCCACGTCTGTTTCTCCCTCTGTGCCTTTGTGAGGTTTGTATAATGTCAAGCCTAGCAATCTTTTAACTTTACTGGGGGGGTTGAAAGGAATATATTTTTTCATGTACTGCCACTTTTCTTTTCTTTTTTTTTTACAGTGGAAAATGAGCTCTTTATTATTAACAACATCTTTACTTATAGTTTAAATGTTTACGGCTGCTTCTGTGTGAATTCTGCATAAATAAGATAAATGTCTGTGACAAGTTGGAAACTTTGAGGAATGTGGTTCTCTTAAGTGCCAGCAACTGCAGACCTTATTTACATTTTCATTTGGTTCCTGTCAAAACCTCGTTCAGCTGACTGGAGGAACTGATGGAGGTTGTCAGGGGCCATGGGGGAAGGCTTAAGGACGTAGTGGTGGTATGACGCCGTTTCTTGGTGGGCCGCAGGCTGACTGATAGAAGCAATGCAGATTAGCACTTTCCCAATGAAATATTGGTAAATTACTGGAATGAAGAAGTTTATAACTTTTAAAGTTGTAGTGAATTCATATTTAAATTTCAAATCTTTCTGGCTTAAACATGTATATAAATGTACTCTTTATCAGACCATATTTTCCCAAAAGTTAGAAAATTTCTATTTATAAAAACATTCCTGTCTTAAAATCTGTGTTGGGTTTTTTTCCATTATTTTATGAGTGCCAGTTAGTTATACGTTAGCTTGTACACCTAATTCGGCCAATCGTATATCAACGGTCATCTGTTAATCAAATTTTTTCGGTCATAGGATCTTGATTCATATGTCGCAGCTAATATACGCAATGGTTGAAATAAGACATAAGAATCATTTACTTTACCATTGAGCTACATCCCAGGATTTTCAGGGATAGACGTATGTATCTTTGGCAGGCGTAGAGCTAACAGAACTGGCAGAGCTGCGAGGCAAGGGCTCAACATGTATGGCTGTAAGCCTTCTACACCAACCCAAGCTTCTGCCGCCCTAGCATCCTCTCCCACAATAAATTTGTCACCCCTTTCCTCCTCTAAATAAATACAATGTTTGACAGAGGAGACATCCACGAATTCTTCCGCTGTCCACAGCGTTCCTTGACAGTGTCATTGCTAAGTGCTACTTGGTCCCAATGTAATTTTCCATTGGGAACCTACTAGCACTAATTTGCGAACTGGTTAGCAAGATGCTACAGCCACAACCAAAAAACTTGTGAAACGTCCGCCACAACACCCCCCCCCCCCCCCCCCCCCCCCCCCCCCCCCCCGTTATAATCGACAAATCATATTCACTTCATTCACTCGTGTAAAGTCGGGCACCATTCAGGAGAATACGGAACTGCAACCGTTGGAACAGCCGCTTCCCTACGACTTTTAATAAGTTATGGTTTCAGAACTGATAACATTTTTGTGATTCCACTGTTGTGGATTAGATTCTTTTGACATTTTAAGCATCGAAAAGCGGCTGTTAAGCCCTGCTTGTCAGCTGGCTGAAAACATCACAATTTTCCCTTCGATTATCAGAAAGATAATTTTGCTAAACAAATGGACGGGCATTTTTGAAAATTAAACCACATTTAAGTTTATCATGGTAATCTTAAAGTTAGCAACTTAAAAGCACTGTTTGAATCTTGCTCCCTGCTTAATAACCTTTTAATTGCAATGTTTTAGATTGTCTATAAATGCCAGAATGACAACAAAGCTAAACTACTCTGTACAAAGCACCATGAACTGCTTTTGTTTGATGTTTATTCACTGTTTTTGATAAACTTTAGATAATAGAATAAAAACTTTACCTTATCTGTTGGAGGGATATTTCACCAACAGGCGGTTGGGATTATTTTTTATTATGCATGCCTGTGCTTGTTAATCCCTAATATTATCACCTCCCTCTAAATACTGACCAATGGAGAGGAAAGTCTTATTGTCTAAGATTTTGTGTTTTTTGTGATTTACATGCACAGAAATGCAGAAATGAAGCTCTAAAAATATTAAGACCTCCAGCGCTATGGTTTACTGCCTTCCCCAAATTATAATAACGGCATTCAAATAGAGGTTCATTTGTTCTTCCAGTCTGGCTGCTTTACATTGTTGCGGTACAGAGCTGTGCCCATGACTTAACATCACTGATTAAAGGTGAAGTCTGTCAATAATGAAGTGGACGCTTTTGTTGACCATCTGTTTGTGGAGCTGAATAACTGAGATCGTCTCCTCCTCTTAGCTGTAATGAATGTTTCTTGAAGGAGGAGACTACAGTGAGCAATTTAGGTGGACTACTGGGTTGCAGGCATTGTTGCAGGACACACCAGCTGCCTGGTCCTTCCCATCAGCTGGTACAACAATAGTCTGCCTGGACAATAATTGGATGAGACTGCCCCTGTTGTATAATTCAGGAGCTAATTCTCACCCCTGTGTTGACGCTCTGCTCTTGGGGAAATTGTCTAACCTGTTAGTGTGGTTTGTGGGGTCTTCTGTTAGGCTTTTAATAGATATGTTTGGGTGTCCATGTTTTGTGTTGTACTTTTGGGTAATTGATTTAATTCTGATATATTAAATATAGGACAAAATAAGTATTTTTTTATTTTTAATTACATTTATTGTTTGTGTTAGCCCAAGTTTATTTGTTGAGGTCACGATAGTCATGAAATTCAATAACTTAAGTTAAAAATACCAAATATTAGATCAACCTTAAGCATATTATGATGAATGAACTGAATGGTAATAATTGTTCTTCCATCTTTTAAACAAAGATAATGACCACAGCAATAATATTGATAAGAGCTTTATTTTATATTGAAACTGACTGCATTATATTTATGAACTTAAAGAATTGTTAAAATAATGCAGAAGTAGCAATTATTTATATTTTTGTAATTCTGCTGTTTATATATTATTCTCCACCATTCTAACTTTCTGTGTGTTTTGAAGAGGGACTTTTTTTTCCATATGGTTATCATAAGCATAGCTTACTTCAAAAACTAGGCCTAAAATGTGTTGTTTGGTTGCTAGGCTGAAGATCATTCTAGTCGGTGGTGTTCAAACTTACCATCCTGCACCTTTTAGATGTCATGTGTAGAGAGGGACACACATTGCGAGGTGAATAATGATTTAAGCTGTGTGACAATCAAGTAAATATAGCTTTCAATAATCTTTTCCTCTGAAACTGCTGCACTAAAATAATTACCTATTATATTTATAGCACTAATAGTTATCCAGATGGAATTGTGGGCATCTTAGCGCATACATTATAAATTAGCTGTGGGAAAAGGGAGCAGGTCTCCTCTCTGCTCTGTTTTCTTACTCTATGCGGAGCTTTTGGAAGAAACGGTTGTCTGTGGCTGTTAGACTGTGCTTGAGGAAGCTCTAGCTGCTGTCGTGAAGAAGTAACAGTAGAATTATTGCTGTTTGAACGTGAAGTCGGTAAACACAGGAAAAGTCACTAGGTTTATCTCTACTTGCTTTTTTTGGGGGGAAAAAGTTACTTGCTGACTCAATAAGTCGCTAAGCTGGAAACACCGCACTGTTGACTCTGGAGTTTTGTTAAGAGCGAAAGCAGAGCAGCACTAAGCTTCATCCACTAACCAGCTTCACAGCAGGACAGATGGAAGGAGGCAGTCTTTTCAAAATAAAGTCGGTTTTAACATTTAATGATATTGACATTTATGTTCTTCTCTGATTATGATGAGAATAAGTCAACACATTTGCAGTATACCATAGCACATCTTTACATTGTTTAACCTTTTTTTTATTTATTCTGAAGTCATGGCAGTTTTTATATTGTTGTGATTAAGACTATTAATTACATGTAGCGCAAACCCTTGACTACCCTAAGTATAGTTTCAAGGTAAGCTCTCCTCTCTCATCCTCAGGACAGGAAAGGTACAAGCAACCAAGGAACTATACATTACTGCTTGCTTTTATAAGACTGACCAGGAGTCTGCTGATCCCAGTTAGCTCCTTTAATACCATTTGATTGGTTGCTTTGAAAGAGCTGCGTTTTCTCATTTAGCCTTGAAGCTTTTAGGTAGGTGTGTTGATGGGAGGGTTAGCGGTGGGGTTAAACCAAGTTCAGGGGCTGAGACCTAATTGATTAGACATTGAAACTGCTGGTATTGAACATAGAGGAAGTCAAAATAAGGTCTTAAGCAAACATGGCTTCAATTCTTAAGGCAGTGTTTGATTCATTTCCCCATTATGTTAAGACATCTCTTACATGTTTAATGTTTTTTTGTCAGTCACATACTACACCCTAAGTGATCATTTACGGCCTGCACCAGAATTAAGGAGCAGTTTCCTAAGCAGCAGGTATAGATGACAGATGAAGAGCTTATCTGTAATTTTTGAAAACACTTCTCCCAATGTGTTTGGGCTTGTTGGATGCTTCCCATCTGTGGAACAAAAGCATCATAAAGGGGATGGATTTTAGTGATGACACGATGTGAAGGAACCTCATAAGGTGAAGGGGTGACAGGTGGTGGAACATATCAACCTGGAGGTGCGTGAAGGTAGCCCTCCATCAGCAGCTCTGTGCCAGTTCCCTCAGCTCAGATACAAACACGCCTGGTAGTCTGTGCTCAGGCCTTGCTTTGTCTTGTTGGTGAAAAGGATTCTTTAGCATTTCTACCTACCTTCTACCAGTTACTCTGTCAGAACACAAGGCAATTCAAATTTGGCAAGGGGTAGGCATTGGTCTTTTGTTTTAATCAAAGTAAGCTGAGGTTTTAAAGCTGATTTCAAACTTCCAAAAATTTTCGATCACACCCTTCATATAGTTTTTGCGCACACTTTCAGTCAGCTTGCTTCTAAACAGTAAAGAAAAGTCTAGATTTAACACAAACAAGAAATATTATAGATAATAATATTGAAACTCTAATTCCCCATAGTTTGTGTGTTAAGAAAAATGATTGGAGTAATGTAATCAAATCATACCATGTTATTTTGTCTTAAATTAGTGTTGAAGTTGTGGTCTTTTTGATTTAAAGGTTGTCAGACATTCAAAAAAGAAAAAAAAAGAGAAACAATCCTGTTTTGAAAGAGTGTGAAGCTTAGTTGCTTCTACTGGATGCTGACAACAAATGCAATTAATTTTCTCAGCAATTTAAAATTTCTGTCCGGTTTTACAGTAAAAATGGGTTCTAGTATCCTGATTTCTCCACTTTCTTTTGATTTCTTTTACTGGGCTGACATTTTCACACTTGTTCTGTTGTCATTTGCTGAGACCACCCTGGTGCGAACCAGAGCCCGCAGATCATTTGCCTTTGACTGAAACTTGATTGTTGTGGGGCGGAGTTAAGTTTTGCACTTTTGAGATTAAGCAGGAATACTCGAGGGACCACTTTGTTTCAGATTTCAGTCCGCCGCCTCCTTAGGAGAGGAAAAAAGGTTCCCTTTCCACTGAGAGCATTTTAATCCCCTGTCCAACTGGCTTCTCGCTGTCCCCCACTGATCCTAACCCTTCTGTCTCTTTGACTCCACAGAATAACACAGACCAAGTGGCCTTCCAAGTAGGCGGCGGCCTGAGTGCTTTGGAGCAGATTTTACAGGTCATCACTGCTGTTACCACACCCACTGCAGTCCCACGTATTCCTCTTAAGTGAGTACCATCACCAAACTTCCCATTATTATTTTTTGTCACTTTGCATCTCCAATGCTTAACTGCTATGCTGTGACAAAGTTTCAATTTCAAGCCAGCAGGGTGAGCTGTCTCTTTAGCTTATAGCCTGCTTGACTTTTCTGTCTGTGGAAAACACATGATTGACTCTGTTATCTTTTTAGTGTCAGTAGCTACAAGTCTAATAGTTCTTGTTAGAAAAGATAACAACTTAATTATTTAGATCAATATTTATTCTCTTAAGTTTTAGTTTCTTCATATGAATGCATTGTGTCAGTAACTATGCTGTCTCTATAATCCTTAATGGATGTCTAACTTCTACTTTGTTCTTGTCAATATTTCCAGAAATAAATTGCAGCTGCACATCATTCATTTTGTGTGTGTTTATGGGGCTTTTTTAATATAGTGTTTCCATTAATTATTTTCCTATTAGAAATACAGAAAGCACAGTTGTTTGTTTTACACTTGTTTCATACCATCAGAATAATATTAAAGAAACAAGTTTATAAGGTATTATCTGAATGAAAATCTAGTTATTGGTGACAAAAAAGGGAAATTCAGATGCGAAGAGTCAAAGTTTCCTATTTGGCCTCATTCTTTTTGTTTTTAATTATCATAATTCACCCCGTTTTTCTATTGATGAAGTTTCCTCTCCTACAAGCCTTTCTTTGGGGCTCCTCTCCTGCATTGTAGTTCTGATCTTGTTTTCTCTTTGGACACTAAAACAGTCGATTCATCTCCACTGAACTACTTTATCACTGCAGTTTGTTACAATGAATATTTTACATATATTTTCTATTAAAAGTGAAGCCCTTAAAGGTTTATGAAGCAGCTGGTTTTCTGTTATTGATGTGTGTTTGCATTATTCTCTGAAAACCTAAAAGGCACATGTCTCCCTTTGATGATGTATAGTATTTTTCAGCGGGGATCTGCATGGCCTGCTGTAGATAACCTCAGAGAGGCTGCTTTGCTCACAAGTGGAACTCTGTAATGGACTCGAATGGCCTTGCACTCCCATTCATTAGCATTTACTGGTCTCTCTGTCTCTGCTAATGGACAAATCCTTCTTATATTTATAAGGCTTTTAAAGGACATGGCATATGTATTGATTTTTTTTTTCCCCTCCCTTTTTTTTTTCTTTTTTTTTTTTTTTGGAGCCTCTCAATCTCAGTTGTTTCAATATGAAGGAATTCCAAGCTCAGTGTTGTGTTTAAAGAGATGGGATTGTAAGCATGGTTTTTCTTCTTCTGTGTGTCTGGACTAAATTGTTGCATATTTGCTTGGCCCACTGTCTGAAATGCATTGGATTTTTGTTTGATCTTATTTTATGTGCTTTGCTGTATTGCAGGGAAAACTGGACTCATTTTCCTGCTTCATTTTTACTTTTCAAGGAAAGCAATTATTTTTTTCCTTCTGTTTTTTGCAGGTCCTAACTTTTAATTCACTGATCAGCTGAGTATTGTTTTAAACACCAAACTGTTTTTTAAAGAATCTGTAGCAGTGTTGAACAATTCAGTCTGTGACATAACTTTTTTTAAAATGCTGCAGTTGTAAAACAAACACCAGAGTTCTCCTGGTGCCTAAAGCACATAAGCAATTACTTAGTATGTAGAAAAATTAAGCAGTTGCAGATTTTAAAGTTTGGGTTTAATGAGTAAATTACATTTAGGATTTCATGATAAATCCCAGTCCTTATTAAAAATCAACAAACCAGCCCCCATGTTTAGGAATAAACTGGAAGCTCCTGATTGCAATCCTTCCTAATGTGTAAAAGAAAATGTTAATTCTCGTTTTCCATAAATAAATATTTATCAAATCATACATTTTGTTTAAAAGAAACTGCATGTATCATAAAAGATGGTACCTAATGTTAGTTTTGACCTAATGTTTTAGATTTTCAGTCCCAAATTAGAAGCCTTAAAACAGATGCCAACTTCAGCGTTGTTGGCCTGCCGTGGTGTACATCTGTACTTTCTTACACTGCTTGCAAAACATTCTTCTCTCTTTTTTTTTTTTATGTGAGCTTCTTCGGCCAGAGACCGTCATGCTGACTTCTTCTGTGTAGACAAACTTCCTCTATCTGAGGAATATTCTGATCTTGTAATGAAGTCAAATTGGGCCCCAAAACCGTTTATACTTGTAATTACTTTTTTTCCGTTGGCGACATTGGATAACTCCTAAACATTAGTTTATTTTGTAGAGCTGCTTGTGGCTACAAAATCTGTATTTAAACCTTTTTTTTGTATTTGTTGCATGTATCAAAACAGTCTAACTGTTTGACTTTAACTTTATTGGCTCATTTAAAAAGCAGGAAAAGGTCAGACTTTCCTATTTTGTGACTTAGGTCAATGCGGCTCATGACAAGATGCAACACAAGGGCGCAGCCTGGCTGTCTGCTTATCACAATCTGTCATCTGGATTGTTACGTGGCCTAATGGGCTGCTATACAAGCGCTAGTCCCAGAGTGTGCTACATTATCTGTTTACAGAGATGCCTCCATATTGATCACCTCCTCCCACCAGATAAGCAGAGTGATTTACAAAAAAAAATAGGCAGCTGCCGAGATGCTCACGCCACATCTCTCCCTAGAGAATCTGATTCCATCTTGTTAGCATTACATTAATGAGCTAATTCCTCTACAAGGCTGCGCTAATGTTCTGGCATAACCCTGTGGTCGCTGGGGAGTCTCGATGAGAGTTTATGCAGCTTAACTGATGAGCTTACTTCCGCCAAAGTTATGAGCACGTCAGAAAAAGGTCTAAAGCATCTTTGGATATTAGTCCAGCTCTGTCAATTAATTACATTTGCATTATGGTAATTATTTTACCTTATAAATTATGAACCAATACTTAGTAGAACTGCATGAAGCCGGCTTGCTATCTATTTGCTATGGGCTATATGAATTAAAACCCAGGCAGTAATTCTAATTAATCTTAGGAGTCTCAAAGCAGCAGAAAATCATCAATTAATATAATATCCTAAGCTTTTTTTCAGGTTGGTATTATGTTTGTATTTCTGAACTTGAATTTAAGATACTCCAGTCAGAAAACTAAACTGCCAGTGAAATTTAAAGACCGTTCCATTTTCTGCAGGAACAATAACATGGCAAAATATAAAAAGATCATAGAAGGGCATATTTTGATCATTCCAGTTATTTTTGAGATTATTGTTTGACATTAAAAATGTAAAACATATGTGGGCAGGAGAAGTTACTTTAAAGGATGGGTTTGACATTTTAAAAACAGATAAAATGATCAATGTGTTTGTTTAATAGTTGTCCTCATCTTTTATTGCCAGTTGGCACTGCTAGTATTTATAATAAGAATCAATCATATATTTTCAATAGAGCAGCTTCACTCTGAAATTATTCAATGGTTCTTAACTGGAAGGTGAAATGCTAAATTTGAAAAGTTGTCTGCTATAATTTTTCCTTTAGATTTTTCTGATCGGTTGTATTTCGATCCAAACTTGGAAGCTATATCACAACTAAACACACCTTTTTTGTAATTAAAAACTGTCAGATTTTAAAGAATTCATATCCTTGATATATATAGTTTGGAGAAAAAGATTTATCTTTTGTTGTGCCTGAAAATCTTCATATGCTTTTCCTAACATAATTAAAAAAAAAAAAAGAAAGGAAAAAAACAAACAATAAATCTGTTTCAGTCAGTTGTGAAGGAAACATGTTTTCATATTTTGGAGCATGTTGTAAACTGACATTAGGATGGAGCCATAAGCTCCAGTTAGACACGCGTGTAAACCCAATTTGTATTTCCTTCACCATCTCGCCTGACCTGCTGTATCCTGTGAAATCAGACCTGCTACCTGTGGTGTTATTTCAGGATGTTTTCTGCCATTTGTAAGAGTCTGTGTGCGTTTGTCCGTGCGCACACTCATGTGAATGCCGCCGTGTAACGGCTCATCGGATTTCTCCTCCTTCATACCTGGCCAGCGTGGCACAACAGCTAGAGTTGATGTCTTGGTAGCTCTCAGGGTATCCGTAAGATCAGCAGCAGAATCAAATTAAATGTCATTTAGATGGCAATGAATGAAGGGATTGTTTGACAGCACAAGGAAATGGATTTGCTCCTCACCTTTTATTTTGGCTTAAGGTTCTTTTTCTTCCCCTGTTTAAAGGATGGTTAGGACGTTAGTCAGATTTCGACAGCGCGGCTCCTGTCAAGCTTGGCTGCACACATAGGAAAAGCTCAGAAAAGGGTGAGGAATTTGAAACTCGGGTTGAAGATAGCAGATCTTCGGGTTGATAACTCCAACTTTGACAAAAGGAGTCCTAAAGAGCCTTTAACATGACTGTTGTCAGCTGAGCATTGACTTGATCATTTGACTCAAGAAGTGGCAGAGATCAATAGTTCTATCTGTCATTGAAGTTAGTTTTACTTTTGATATGCTCCAGGGAAATTAAGCACAATTAGTTTTTAAATAGTTTTGCAAACTAGGCTTTATCTTAAGAGAGCTTTCACTTTATTTTAGATATTAACATTTTAGACTAAAAGGTTGGCTGAGCCCCTAATCCCACAGTAAACCTTATCATGTGTAGGCCTGTGGGTTGGCAGGTTTGAAGCCCTCTGGGCTTCAGGGGTTAGACTGCATCAGATGTTCTTTATACCTTACCTCCTGGTCTCAGCTCTTTATAGACCTAAAGCGATTGTTCTGGTAAATTTGTATGCCCTGACTGTGAGAGGTTAAAACCACTTGATGATGGTGGGCAGATTATATTCAACTTTGTTGCCTTTTCTCCATCTGTGTGGGTTCAGAAATGTGGTCTGCTCGGGTTCACTGGCACACAGCGGTCTCCAAAATACTCCTCTGCAACATGAGAATGGGTGGTGTGGCACTTCACCAAATTGTTCCTCAAAAGAGCTGTCATGTGGGTGGGGGGGGCTTCAGCCTGTGAGATTCCCAGAGAGGTTGTACTATCGAGTGTCATCCTCATCAAGCTCAATTAGGTGGGAGGAAACCAAAGACAGACGGCTGTAGTGGTCTATTGTACAAGTTGGTGTAAGGGCATAAAGCAAGCATGCCTTAGACGGCCTTTTCATTTGTCTATAGATGACCATAGGGACAGCCTTGTTAGCTGGCTTACAAAGTTACTGCATGCCTGTTGAATGGTGCTGAGAGCCTGATCTGTCATTCTCTTTAATGTAAACTCGACAAGCCAGAGAAGTACAGAACTACATCCCAATTCCTTTAAGTACATTTAACTACTAAACCACAATCATTAAAACATATTCTTAGACTTAGACTCAACTTTATTTATCCCTTGGGATTACTGCTTCAGGGAAATTATGTTTCCAGTAGCTTATATAGAGTAAAAAGAGTTAAAGCAAGATGGCATTTAAGATAAAAATATAACAGAAAATATAAAAAGAATAAAAAAATAAAAAGCATAAAAAAAGGAAAAAAGTTGTAATGTCCTGGAATATATTTCCCTTTGAAATAAATAAAGAAAAACTGCACAGTAGGAAGCTAAGGTAAGACTACAAAGTAGTTGACTTGGGTTATTGCACTTGCACGGCAGAAATATACTGACCTTATGAATAAGTTAGAAAATTACACAGGCCACACAGTATTTCATGTGTTATTGGACAGTGAGAGAGAAGAATATTACACATGAGTGACAATAGGTAATGTTTTACATAAAATGTCCAAGGAGGGGGGGTGCTGACCCTTGTCCCTTCTCCTCTCTGTTTTTTAATGTCCATCATACAAGTTGCATCAAGGGAAACAAAAGACTTTCAGCATAATTTCCTTTCGTAGTCTGCTCCAATAGGGACCTCCAGTTATCAGCAAATGGAAAGGACAGACCTAAAATCACCAAACATTTATGAAACAGCTGGAACAATTTTTTTTTCAACAGCTTATAAATCAAATAAAATGTTGTGTGTGAGATATCTAAGGGAAATTACCTTCTTTTATTTACAAAAATGTGTTTTATACTGTAGGTTTTTAAAAGATATAATGACTGAAAACTGACACAGATGTCAGAAAAAGAAAAGACTGTATGTGTAAGTAGTGATCCACCAGTATTTTGAACTGACAGCTTTCCCTTAATCTACCGGTACATGTTAGAAGCCTAAAAGTATGAATATTGTCTCCTGTTTCTTAAAGTTTTCAGTTTAGTAAATGCACCAGTTAACATAACAGTATCTTCATGATCCACCCTGTTTTGAGCTATTGAAAGAATTGACTAAAAATCATCAACATACTTGTCCATTTTCTACTGATCAAAAAAATATCACCTATCAAGGAACCAGCTGTTTATCTTTCATGATCTATATTTCATGATCTATATATCTATATTTTCATGGTCTTTATATATATATATATATATATATATATATATATATATATATATATATATATATATATATATATATATATATATATATATAATTATTTATTTAATTTTTTTTATTTGGAAATGCTGAAGCAAAGTCAGGTGTATACAATATGTTTGTGTTTATGATAGAAAATTGGAATAGGACAAAGTTCAAATAAATTTGGTGGATTTTATGTAATAGACTCAATGTCCTTCACTTAAAAAAAAAGTGCACAATTCTAGTATTATTGTGCAGTAGTACATTATAATATTCTATGAAGATCCCTTTCTAAATATAAATATGTATAGGCATTTGTTCATTTTATAATGTCAGGGGATTACAGCATTTTCTTGAATCGACACGAGACATTTAGATTTAAAATGAACCGTTTTGTCTGTTTTCTTGTTAGGTTATCAGTTGAGCTGCACACTGCCTGTCAACTGACTGAACAGTGGTGACTGTACTTCTCATACTCTGAGAAACACATTTAGTGGTGTTAAAAAAAGGAGGAGGGGGGTAGAAAACTATAGCCTGACGTAGTCCGACTCAATTCTAGTCAGAATATGAGTCTGATACTGCTCCATAGAGCTGTGATTATGGGGCGTGTTTCGAACGAACCAGGAAAAAAAATGCCTCTGCACTCAATTGGATAGACCTACAACCAATAAGAGCAACGGAGTGCGTGACGTATGTTAAGCGAGGCATAGTTGTTGTCCACAAAAATCAAAGCGTGCAGTTGCACGCCTAGAATAAAAATATGAGCCTTGATCGCGTTTCTCTGTTCCTCTTTTAAAATTAATTTGCTGTCGATATCTTCTAGAACAGACCTTATAGCAGAATCTACTCACCTAAACTCTCCAGCGGCAGCCATTATTGTTGTCACCCAAGCGCGCATTGGTCACGTGGTTGATTACGTTACTGTTGGTCATCTGTCCATCATCGTATAAAGCCCGCCCTGACAATTTGATTGGATCGCCTGACAGTGGGCGATAATACTCGCGCTACTATGGAGCAGAGCCAGACCGAACTTCCCGACCTCAAACTTTGTGGGCGGGACTAAGTTCGGAATGGCACCCAGGCTAAGAAAACTACAGATATGCCTTTAAATTACTTTTAAGGTAACACTCTAAAAATAAATGTTGGCAAGCTGTGAGCCATTCTGCCTGCAGTGGCAGTTATAAATAAAAGGTATAAGACCCCCCCCATCTTTTAACACTCTGAACTAATGCTATTTTTATTCAAAGTAATCATGCTGTGAAAATGTAATACTTCTACCATTTTACGCTGCAAGAAAGAACCCTCACATTTTCATAAGCACCATGTCTTAAAAAAATGACTGTACCTTTTTTCTTATGTCTGTAAACATTTAGTTGAAAAGTGCAGAGTTCAAAGTTAATTAGTTCCTCAGGCAGTCTTTTCTCCTTGTACGAGCTATAACTCAGCCCTTTATTCACAGCTTAGGACGAACATTTGGCAAATGGAGTCTCAGGCTCAGTGTAACCTGAATGCTATTGACCAATGTGAACTTTATCTGGCAGTTTCAAAACATTTCTTTGCCAGTAATTAAGCCTGTCCTGCCTTGCCATTTAATCTGTGATAGATAGAAGATAACCCTGCTATTGTGCTCTGCTTTACTCAATAAGTGCATAATCAAATACCTCAATAGTGACTCCAGACACCCAAAGTAACTCCTGTCCTTTAGAGGAATGCCCATGGGTTGCTTTGGCTGTTCCCATAGGCTGTGTGAAGTGTGTAATTATACAATAGCATTGTGAAAAAAGATTTGAGTTGTCTTTTTTCTATTTGCAGTGAAGCTTATCTCTGTCATGCCTTCACTCAACATTCAGAGTCTCTGAGAATCTGAAGCTGTAAGGCTGCACACAAAGCAAAGTCTGGCCAGGTTCTCATGTTACCTTCCCTCCTGTTGCACATAGCTTAATCTTTTTTTTTTTTTTTTTTTTCTCCATTTTCTATTTCCAAAAGTGTGTATTGAATAAACTCTTATCACATCTGCCACACAGAGGTGTAACAATTTGTAAGGTAATCTTTATTTTGCTCTTTTTTTCCTCTGTTATGCTTCATTGTTATCAGGTGTTAGGCTTTCCTGCCTGATGTAAACAATGTGCAAACACTCAAAATATAGGGATTCTCACATTAACACCACGCTCTGTGTCGGGCAGCTTCACACTTCTGTGTCAATAAAGTAACACCAGAAATTTTGGCTGATCTGCCCACAAGAAACAAAAAGCAATAACAGAAGTTACTGACAGACTTTTGTAAACCCTCGCCTTGGTTTTTTTTTTTTTTTTGCTCTTCTATGCCAACATGGTTTTGACTGAAAACGCACAGCAGATGTGAAGGTTCGGTACATATCAAAATGTTTACCAGTTGAAGTAAACACGGCCTACTTTAGGCACCGAAGAGGGGGATTCCTTTCTTCCCGCGAGCAGATAGGACATGCCATTTCTCTAATGGCTAAAATATACAGTTGTCAGAAAATATTAACTGATGAAACAGGGCGAGGGGGAGTAGCAGTCACCACAGAATGATTGGTCAGTTATCTGAAGCATTAATCTTCTCTACAGCTTGTTGTAGAGCAGACAAAATACAGAGGCTGCTGCCTGGGGCTGCCTAGCTGCTGTTGGGAGCTGCTAAGAGAAATAGTTTTATCTCTCCAGCGGAAATGCTGCACCATCTCTGCCAAGATCGGACTGAGATAGCACTCAGCACCTCCGAAGGTGGCTACGCAGGGGAGTCTCTACATTAAGTAGCTGATATGAGTGTTTTATTCCTCAGATCTGCTTCCATTCTTGCACCGTCCGTGAGATATATTTCTGACAACTGAAGATAAAGTACACCCTTAAGAAAACAGAATCGAAGAAGAGTACGTGAGGTTTCCTGAAGCCTGCAGTTAGTCTTTCTGATTCCCAGGTCACATTTAGGACTTATTGCTGGTGTGTTATTGAGGGAAATTGCAATGGAATTTTTTGTTTTAAAACCTTGTGATTGATCATGTTTTCTATTCTTCTTTGCTAGATCTCTTTGTGCTGCTACAAATACCTACTATCTGGCATGTTCCTGTTGCACGTCCAACTGCACTTATGTGCTCTTCAGCAACAAAATAGTGTTCCTTGTGGACCTGCTGCTACAACAACTGACAGTAAGTCAATAAAACTGTATGCTACGCAGACTGACTCATCTCATTTAATGTTTTATTATTCTTAGTCATAATAGCTCAAACATAAGACATTTAGTATTAAAATATTTATACAACTTGCTTTTTTCCCTATAAAGATTTTGTTTAAATTATTAACTTTACAACTTTTACCAACTGGAGAAACAATGCATTTCTTTCTAAAAAGAGACAGAGTTTAACTTAACAATATTTTATGAAACAGCTTCTAACAACTTTTGAATACATTGATTAAGTTTTGTTCTGTAGTGTTGTGGAGGTTTTATTACAATGTTTCCAGGAAAACATTTTTTTGTATATTCAAATATATATATGTAAAAACAAAAATATTAAAGTCAAAATGTTATTTTTATTTTCCTGTCTGATCAAAAAAACTGAACAGGATCTTCATGTGCAAATAATCATTCTATGCAAGCAATTTACACAAGTATAACCTGGTACTTAATGTAGGTTTACATATATAGCTATAGTGACCTTTTAAGCCCCGATCACCCAGCTCTAAACCTAAAGATATAGATTTTTCTTTTATTTACATAAAAAAAATCTTTGTGCATGAATTTTTTTATATTTTATCTCTGAAGTTTTTGCACTTTTTGCCTCTCTGCTGATGTCATCGAGTCCTTTAGTGTTCATGACGAGCGAAGCAACACAGAAAATCTGGAGTCCCACTGTCGCCTCCTGACAGAGGGAATGTGAGTGCTCCATCAGAAAAGGCAGGCGGGCAGGCTGGGTTGTGGCGACTTGTCGGCCCATATCCTTCAGCACTCTGTTAGAAAGACTGTAAACATCAGCTCACTCCAAACATCCAACAGTGGCGGCTCAACACTCACAACACAGACAGGACAAGGCACAGCCACAGGGTTGTGGTGCATGCATTAATTCTTCTGGGGCTTCCTTTTTTCAGTCGAGTTCCAATCCAAAGCAGTCGTATTTCCTCGGGGCACAGGGGGAGAAGTTAGGCTGTATACTTCAGTTTATATAAAACACATCCCAGCAGCTGCTCTGCTGATGGACATCTCCAGCAGCACTGTGGGAGATCTACAAACTCTTCTTCTTTTCAATGTAAATTGAGCTCAGAAAGTTAGACTTAATTCCACTGTCCTACATAGTGAGTGGTCATAAAGGTAATACAATGAGCATTAATGTGGCCTTAGTTTAGTTATTTTACTCATGCACATCTGAGTGGACGTCTCATTTTGGTATGCGTGTGTTAGCAATTGAGTGCAGCAGTGGGGGTTGGACTGCCATATGAGCATGCCCTCATTTAATTAGATTTGTGGAGAATGTCGGTGGATTTACCTATGCTGTCAGCATTCTCCCTGGCTGTTGGAGCAAATGTGAATGTTTTACCTTGGCAAGCTCAAAAGTAGAGACACTATATTTCAAATTTAGACCTGTGCTTATGTTTTACACATGATGCTTGGAATGCAGATTTGAAGGATGGCCATCCAACTAGTTTAACTAATCTCTCTCAAAGGTTTTCTTTTTTTAGACTGAGCAGGACGTAGGTGATTTAGAGAATATCTTCATTTACAGCAGCTTTCTGTGGCTACTGCTTGATGTTCCTGTGCTCAACTACTAATTGGTTGGCTTACGGTAATTTTTAATAAACATCATAAGGTGTTTGTTGAGTATGATTCAAGTATAGAAGCTACTTACATCAAGAGAAGGTTTAATGACAGTAATTAAATATTTAATCGGGCCAATTCAAAAATTGCGTTTTCTTTAGATTGAAAACTTTTAACCAGTCCGGATGAATTAATTGAATTGTCTTTATAAAGATTGTGGCATGTGCTGTGTACGGGTACTACATGATTAACTGAATTGAATTTATCAGACAATTGGAAACCAAAAATAAAATATTTTTGCTCACTCTTTGGTATAGGGGTTGTTTTTGTGGGAGACGAAATCAAAGCTGTTGGTAAGTTGTGCAATTTGGAGGGGGCCCAAAGGCTTAAGAAAGATGCAAGTAACACAGTTTTTCCAATGGGAGCATCTCTGTTTATCTAGGCAGCCATAACTGAGAGTTGGATCTTTGCAGAAAACTGAAAGGGGAAAAAAACAACAACTCTTTAATGGGATATGTTTGTCTTGATGTTAAGAGTATTTTGTGTATGGTAAAATCCCTATAATTTATTTTCCTAATTCCCCTACATAGAAAGGCTAAAGCATATTTCTTAACAGATTTCTATTAGTTTGAACAATACTTGTGTTAAGTGCAATCAAACAGCTTCTTGGTCCTGATAAATAATTACAAGTCTTAACAAGATTACTAAAGCCTCTGTTTCTCAAAAATTAAGGAAAAAAATGTCTACATGATAGAGAAATGCAAGCTTAATCCCACCAGATTAAGTTGGAATCTTGAAACTTAAGTTGGGCTTTTTTGAAATGATCTAAGAGAGAAAATTAACTGATGTAATTTGGTGCAGTGCAGGTTACATTTTCAGTGGTAGTTGAAAAAAAAAGAACAAAGTATTTGTCAAGGAAATTGACATAAATTGGCTTTAGAGTTGTTTTATTTTAAGATACCTTAGTCCCATAATCTCCTGGTGTTTATTGTATTTATGGTTTCCAGAGCTGCAAAAAATATCAAATCAAAGTTGTCATTAATTAGAGCAAAATGAAAACCAAAAATGATAGCTCAAATAAAATATTTGGTAATTTATACGGCATGCAATACATTTTTAGGTACAGTACATTTTGGTTTTTTTTCTGGTTCTTAAAGAGTTTTGGATTTGCTTAAGATTGTAAGTTGGCCACAAACTCTGATTGGTGCAGCCCCAGTTTTTGTCCAAAAACTGAGGTCTTTTAAAATTCCCTTTTGTATTTAGCGAGTAGCTTTTATAAACTTAAGATGACCAATAGTTTGGTCGGTTATACTAGTCTGTCTAAGCTGACATTCAATTCAGTCATTTTGTTGGGTTGCTTTTATATAAATGAAATCCTGTCTGTTTCCATCTTGTCTTTGATGTTTTTTTTATACCTGCTAATTGTTGTTTTTTTCTGTACTTTCTAGCTGTATGTTCCAGACGAAGACAAGTCAATTTTTGGCCGAAGCGTAAACAAGCAGGTTTTCGAAGGCTTCACAACAGGCCTTCTTCAGACCATTGCTACCATCTTGAAGTCCCTGTATCTCTGCGTTGTTGAGCCGGCAAAATGTCAAATCTTTCAGTGTTCATCTTCAGATGCAAAGGGCAAAGGTTCTGCTGCAGAGTCCTACAGCACTCGTGCCCAAGATCTTATCAGGTATTTTTTCTTCTGTGTTAAACTCTAGGTTTCTCAACCTCCCACATCCTCCTGGTACCTCTTTATCTCACCCCAAAACCTTTTTACGTCCTTTCTTTCAAGCTCCTCTTTACCACTGATGGACATCTGATTTCCTAAAGGGCAAGCCATATGTAAGGAATAGGCTTACAAAATGTCAGAAAGCCTGGAAATGATCCAAGTGGTGTCTTGTTAAAATGGGAGTAGTGTGAGAATGAGGTGTACTCTGGCATGTTTCCAGCATGTCCTTTTTTTAAACATTTGGAAACGCATTCTAAGTAATATCAGTTTCTTTGGCGCTTACAAATCCACATAAACAACAAGCACTTCCAGAGCTGAGAGAGGTCCCCTTGAACCTGGCATTTAGGCTCTCCATGATGGTTTGGCCTGTAGGAGTGGTGATTGTGATGGAGAAATGTGGACCGTGAGGAAAGGCAGGCCCAGCACCCTGAAGCTTTGTGGACTAGTCAAGTCTTCCCACCATCCCTCCCACAAGAAATAATTCATCTGCGCAGGGCAGCTGCACAGGCACACCAATCTCATCCACTGACCCAGTTGTAACCCCATAGTCAGGGGGGTGCCTGAGAAAAATTGTACGGTCAGACTTATAATCTCAAGTACAAACCAGAGATTTACATCTACTGTCCTTTAATGTGTGACGAAGAATAAAACACAAAGACATTCCAACCCTTTACAGCCAATTTATCAGGCTCTCGTCGAGACGTTTCCACATTTACCACAAGACTAAATGTCTTTTTATAAGGTTTTATCTTCTGCACTAACACAGTAGGCTTTATAATTAGAAAGTTTGACAATAGTTTTCAAAAGAAAAATGGCCTTAGAAAGACTGGGGGAAAATTGCAGAAAAAGTCAGAAATAAATTAGGGGAAAGTTGAAATAACAAATAGGTTTAATAAATAATCCTTTCAGCATCTAATTAAAGGGATAGTTCGGTATTTTTGACATGAATCTGTATGGCATCCCCATCACCAGTGTCATGCAATCACACTGACTTCTCGTCCAGTTTTGGTCAAGCCAAAAGTAGTCCGGCAGGTTTGCTAGAGCCAGCGAAATAAAACGTTTCTCTTCCCAAAACATGTGTTCAAAAGAGTGATATTTTTGCATCCCAAAAACGTTGTAGTGGAAAAAGTCACACGTCGTTATCACTTGGTCCTATTTTCTCTCTGTTCGTATCAGTGCGCGCCGTCATTCAGACAGCTAGGGCGGAGGGAGACATGCATCTGGCTGTTGTTGAGCTCGCTGTCTGAATGACGGCGCGCACTGATACGAACAGAGAGAAAATAGGACCAAGTGATAACGACGTGTGACTTTTTCCACTACAACGTTTTTGGGATGCAAAAATATCACTCTTTTGAACACATAATGTTTTGGGAAGAGAAACGTTTTATTTCGCTGGCTCTAGCAAACCTGCCGGACTACTTTCGGCTTGACCAAAACTGGACGAGAACTCTGCTCACAGGACGCTGCCAGGGGTAAGTCAGTGTGATTGCATGACACTGGTGATGGGGATGCCATACAGATTCATGTAAAAAATACCGAACTATCCCTTTAAGCACTGTTTGGTTTGATTTATTATCCCAAAAAGGGGAAATGTTTTGGAAAAGAAACTGCCAACCTACTTTACCAAGATATGCCCACCTAAACTGAGAGGACAGAGTGATAATGGACCAGTCCAGATGACTTAATGTTCATGTGTTAGAATGGTCCAGTCTGTTCAGACCTACACCCAAACACTAAACAGCCAAACATTTATGTTCAGACATTTATACATTGAATGTGGCTAAACTTGTTGGAGGACAATTAACAGAAATAAATACACCAAGCTGTTACCAAAACACCACAAGACTCGCAGCTGTAATAGAATTATAATGTGGTTCTATCTAGTTTTTACCCGGGCATCTGAGATAACTTAAGATTTTTATCGCTAAATAATGTGAGGGGGCGGGACTCAGAACAACAAACCTTGGATCAAAATATTAGATGTATAGATTCTAATCACTTAAATGAGAGGAAATTGATTATTACTTAGTTCTTAGAAAAGGAAAACTAAAATCAAAAGATGATGGAAAACAAGACAAGACAAGGAGCAGCTAAATAGTTACCACAATACTGACTAGAATGCTTTGACTGACTGCTGTAATCTCTAGGTTTTCATAAGCTCTGTTTACTTAATTATCTTTGCATACCAGAAGCCTCTAGAAAACTAGCCCTGGGTCAGCAGACTGTCAAGGGCCCAAAGCAGGTCTGGCACAGGGGCCACAACAGCCGTCTAATGACACTATTAGGGGTGATTTGTGGCTGAAAGAGTACAAGGAACATGATCATGAGTCCTGTCATTGGCAGAGACAAATTGGAGATATCACAGTAATAGCTGGGGGTGGAGGGCTTAGGTGAGGTATTGACTTACAGTGGAAGTGCAGAGGGAGTATGCACAGTAAAGGCCTTTGTTTGCTTGTGTGAAAGAGCCTTTCATTTTTATTTTTTTTAAGCGGTCTTCAGGAGCACATGCAATAAAACATCTAACATTTTCTTTCTCTCTTTTACCCTTTTATCCAGCTACGTTGTAAACATGGGGTTGATTGATAAACTGTATGGATGCTTCCTGTCGGTCCAAAGCCCAATAGACGAGCACCCCAAGATGTCTGCCTTTCTGCAGCAAGCCTCTTCTATGCTGCACCGGATGTGTGAGCTGTGCATTGCTGTAACTGGACGGTGAGCTCTTATGAAGACACCCTTAACATCTCTTGTGATATCCTAATCTTTTGCTGACTAACTTACATCCTTTTCTCTGGACAAGTAATGACAGAGACTCTGTCACAGTTGATAGCTTCCAATCACTAGGATCCATAAAGTCAATCTCGTGGTTTCTCAAACAGATATTATGGCTCCTCTGCAGGCAGGTCATTCATTCCAACCAGTGAGCTGGCGTAGCTGTCGTTACAGCAGACAGAGATAGAGATCTACTTGACCCAGTGCTCTGTCACTCACCATAAACCTTAGTCTGCGGTGTAGGGGGGGAGCCCACCCACATGTGCCATAGTGACCTCCACTCAGAGGGGTTCAGTGATGCCGCTGACAGAGGCTAAGCACACAGTCACACTAAGGGACATAAGTACCACCATTTCTGACTTCAAAAGAAAAAAAATCAATCTGATCATTGCAACAGAAGAGCCAGTTAATAATTTTATATCAGAAGTTGCTTTTAAAGGGCCGCTGAAAAGGCTTTACTTTACACTGGAGGGGCAAATGACAACTAGAAACTAGTTTGACAAAGAATATTGCAAGACGACTTTTTTATTTTTTATGTACCTAATGCACTATATGTTTAGCTCGTTCTGTTTGAGATCTGTTCTGCTAACAGCCTATATGTCATTTATAAGAACATTCAGTGGGCCACAAAAATATTTGGACCATGCCAGTTGCTGTTTTAGGGGATTACAGTCGCATTTAGAGGCTCTGTTCTCGCCTAGCAGCATATTTCACACAAAGCCTGTTGGCTAACATCAAGTATCAGCATGCACTGCCGGTTTCATCCCGAGGTCAAACGCTCTCTGTTGTAAATGGCTGCAAATCATAGATGGTGCTGCTGCTGCGGTTTTAAATAGTCTAAATGCAGCAGCTGAACTCCTTTACTGTGGCCCACCTTGTGTTAGACTACACAAATACAGGTAATTACTACAGAACTGTTCTGTATGAATAGTTTAATAATACTAGTTTCTACATTACAGCCTGTCAGATGTTATAATTGACAACTTTTGCCCAGTGTTACAGGAAATGCTTTACACAGGTTGAAAACAAAACAGACATGAAACCATTCAAGACACTCCTTAAAATGGATTAACATAAGTAAGCAGTGAGTAGAAATCCAAACAGAGTGGATGAGTTTAAAAAGAGACTGATAGATCATTCGATTTTATGGATGTAAATTTGTGGAAAAGCAGACATTTAGATTAACAAGGGGACATAAATGCTTAGTTATAAGGCAAATTTAACTAGTAGAATAGTTGAAAATAATTCTGAAAAATACAAAGTCATAGTAACCTAGAAATGCTAGAAGTTAAACCTGCTTTAGAATACACTTATCCACTTAATCTTTTTTTTTTTTTTTTTTTTTAAGTAAAGAAAGTCCATTTGTGGGGGATTTTTACCAGAATACGCAAGAACCAGTTGTTCTACGAAAGCCTCAGATGTTTTAGAGAACATCAGTAGCATGATGAACACCAAGTATCACAGAAGATCAATGAGGGAACAATCTTTGAACATCTTAAACAATATTACAAAATGGGCTATAAGAAGGCTGCTGTTGAAAGTAAATTGAAGTTCGTTTTCCCACTGACTATATTGAGGAAGAAGCCTACCAGACCAAAAACAGAAGACCAAAAATGACCTTTTTAGTCTACATGTAAAACACTCTGGAAGAAAACTTGGGACCAGAAGTCCCCGTAGCTACATCATCCTCACAGTTAATGATGAGGGCAGTCTTTATATGGTGGGGGTGCTTCTCCTTAGCAGAAATATGCTGCTGGTCAGATTTTATTGGAAGACGGAGCTAAATACAGGACTATCCTGGAGGAAACCCTGTTGGAAGCTGCAACAAACCTGAGGCTGAGCAGAAGCTCCTATCTCCTAAACATGGAGACAGAAGATGATGTAACTAATTGTTGACTCACTAGGCGTGAATAAATGTTAACTTTCCACATCAATATTAATTCAAAACTTCTAAAACCATGTGTAATTTTCCCTCCACTTCAGTTGAGCCCTGCTTTGTCTTTATATGTCCTGTTAAAATCCACAGGGTTTTTTCCATTAAAGTAATATTATATGAAAAAGTTATCATAGTTGCATAATTGCATCCAAGGGTTGAAATGTTGGTTTCCAAAAAACAGAAGCTTAATATGAACACGAGATGAGAATGTTTGCTGTGAAGCAGTCTTTCCACATTCAGTGCCGTCTTTAAATGTAGACAGGTTATTCAGAGTTACCAATGAAGACAGATTCCTGTAGCATTTGCTTCAAATTTCTTACTCAGCATTGAATACTAAACGGAATACTTTACAGTAAGACGATGTACATCTTATGATTTGATACTATGTTTGATGCATTTACTGACAGTAATACATTTTCCATTCCTTTCTGGTCAAGAGTTGCTGCCTTGTCTTTTTTTTTTTGCTGATAAGTATATTACAATCCTGCCCTTTGTCAATATTGTGCATATAATCAAGCACATGTGGCATTGATATCAATCAAAGAGATTCAAGGAAAGCCTTGTCCTTTTCTCTGCATGCTTTATAGGAAACAAAATCATTTCCAAAAATCTATTTTTGCCTTAAGTCTTGCCTCATGGGAGCTCTAGACTTACCCTCCCCAGTGGAGTGGATCTCCCTGAAACATCATTGCCAGCAATAAATGTCATAAGCACATGTCTAATCAGTAAAACGTCTTTCCAGATTGCCTTCAACATAAGGTCTGAAGGTCTAATCTACTATTTTCCTCTTTTTTTCTCTTTCTCTGGTTCTTCCCCGCCAGCGTTCCTAATATTTTTGACAACAAACGCCAGGACCCAACTGGACTTACAGCTCTTTTGCAGTCCACTGACCTGGTGGGAGTGGTGCACACCCTGTACTGCATCTTGCTGCACAGTTTCTCGCCAGAGTCTGCTTCCCAGACTCAGGAGCCCTATGGCCCTGGAGTCATCCAGGTGGCCATACACGGCATCCGCTTCTTCAACAGTTTTGCCATTCTTGACCTATCAGCCTTTCAGGTACGGATTATTATTGATTTTTTTTCCTTCACTTTGTTAGATTTAAAACCTCAAGTTTTGCATACTAGACACATACAATGACTATTTCACATAAATATTTGAAAAATCTTGTAGATTCTCATTTATCCAACATAAACATGTTTGAAAATCCTTTCTTTAGTATCTAACATCCTTGTGGCCATTAATGCTTTTTTCTTTATAAAAAAAACTATTCAAAGAGAGATTGTTCTCCGTGGGCCTAATTTGACCTGTGAGCATAAACATAGGAAACCGTTGACCTCAGGTCACTTTCTAGGGGAGGATTAGAGAGCCCAGTGGATGAGGTTAGGCTGAAACGCCAGTGATTATCACTGTACGAGGAGCCATACATTACCCACTCTGTGCAGGAGAGCGCATCGCTTTCCTAAGTCACCGCACAAACCGAGAGCCACACAGACGAGCTAGCAATGCTGTTAATTATTTTAATGCCTTGGGGTAATCACTTTGAAGCGGCTTCCTGTCACTGACCCGCCATATTCAGGCAACTCAAAACAGCTGGAAATGAAAGCGTTTTCCCCGCCAAAGTTTTATGAACATTTTAAATTATGTTGCTTTTTTGGCAGGGACTTGTAATCACCTTGTGTTTCACATTACTTCACTGCGACAGCTTATACGTATCAGTAGTGATCGGTTGATCACAATTTAAGCCGCTGGCTCACTCCGTTGCTGCATCTGCTCACAAAATGGTGTTTAGACCCAAATTTAAAAGCATGGAGTGAAATATAAATGAATTAGTTTTGTAACAGGCACATTTGGATGGAGTAAGCTGTAACTTATCTGGAATCTTGGAAATCTGTCCCTTTTTTCCATCTAATTTACAACATAGTTCTCATTATTCCTATTGATAAAGGATTTATACATATTTAATATGCAGAATTGGCTCTTAGATTAGAAAACAGCTGAATTTGGTTGTAAGATTTCCAACCAGCCTCTGAGATATTGTTTACGGCTGTTTAGCACACCCAAACCTTTAGTGAAATTTCAATGATCTTGCAGTGCTCTGTCACACTGGCATGTTTATTAAATACTCTCTGAGCTCCTCCATGTATCTCAACTTCTAAGCAGGGCTTGGGGTTGTTCTACACTTATATTCTGTTTGATTTGCTTATATACCTATACTCTATACATTTCCACCAACAAAACATCTATCCTTTTATTGCTTTGCATAGATATATTGTTTGGCGTTCAGAAATAACAAACACAACTCACATTTAAATTAGTGTGAGCGTTCTATGACATGTTTTGTCTGCTGTTGGGCCAGTCGGTTCTAGGAGCAGAGGGCCTCTCTTTGGCTTTCCGGCACATCGTCAGCTCCCTGCTCTGGTACTGTACCCAACATTCCTCGGAAGAGCTGCTTCATGAGGTCATCATCTGTGTGGGATACTTCACTGTTAACCACCCAGACAACCAGGTAAACTCATACCTCTAAATGGTTGTAGTGTGGGTCAAATCTAAATATTGATTTAACTAAAAAATATAGATATATAGGACCTAATTCTTAGAATTTTTTAGATTTATCTTTATGTCATTTACATTATGTTCCGTTTACAAAATATTTAAACAGGCATACAAGTGATTAAGCATACAAGAAATTTAAATTCATCAGTTGTGCATTTAAATACTTAAAATGAAAAGAAATTCAGATCCAAAAAGAAACACAAATTCAGATCCAAAAAGAAACACAAAACAACAAACAATATAATGGTACATTAGATCTGCAGAGTTTTGTTTTTTGTAGAACTGTTTTGTTACGGCCATATCGGAGGGTTTTACAGCATGTTATATCCTGGTATATTTATATAAAGTTACACTGAAGAGGCTGAATGATAAAAAGGAAATAATTTCATCCTTTGAATGCATCATTTGGCAAAACAAGCTCAAGACTTTGGTGCTTTAAGAGCTGCCAACACAGACAGAAGCTGCAACAGAAATAAACACTTGAAATATTTAACTCTGTGTAGTAAGTCTGTTTCATTTTGAAATAGTTTCCTTAAATGAACTTGTCTGCCACAATTTAATTTATGAAAGGCAGCTGTTAAATAACAATAATAGGAAATTTTTATGTTTTCTTCTTGGACCTTTTTTTTCCCCAAACTGAACTTTCTTAGTTTTGTCTATTTTATAAACTGTCTGATTATTTCTGTTCAACCCAAGGTTCCTCTGAGGAGTGTAAAGCTGTCGATTTTTAGAGAGAAGAAGCCAATAATATCAACTTACTATTGTTCCTCTCTTGCATTATTTGTCAGAAAAAGGGTGTAGTTTTGTAATTGTAACAAAAAGCACCTGTTAAAAGATTTATACCTTGGCACCTTCCTGCTTTTGGTCTGTGTGTCGTCCTTTGTCCCACAGAGTGAGCCTTTGTTCTCAACTGGAAAAGCGGAGATGTCTGCTTGCCCCGGTGTTACAACTACTTAGGGGGCTCTGTGGAAGTGAGCAGGATGTGAAGAAGCAGACCTGGCTGCTGTGTTGCTGGCTGTCATGCATGGCCCGTCTACCGGGCCCCTGATTAGCCATGCTACAGTTGGCTGGCCTTTGATTAGGATAAGCCTGACCCAGTCTAAGCGTGTCCTTACACAGTAAAGCAGTATATTGATTCATTTCTGTTTTATTTTGGGTCTTCCTCAACCCTGCTTTTTCCGTTTTTCTCTCTCTCTCATTAAATTCAGCACAGACCATTGTAAATTTAATTGGTATGTTATTGTAAATGATTAAATAAGTACTGATTTAAATTGTGACCAACAGCCAAACAAAGATGGCATTTGATTCTTGCTCATGTTTCGGAAAATGTGTCATTTATTCACTACAGAGAACCAAAACAAAACTCCTTTTCACCTTGCTTCTGGGTTTAAAAGAAAACACATTTAAGTATAGATTGTCAGGAAACAAGATCCAATCCAACTTCACACAGTTGATCTTTGCCAGTGGTCCGGTTCCTGGAATGCGTCCATTCAGTTCTTCACCAAGATGGATGGCTTCAAGAAGGAATATTTAGAGCAGCTTGAGCTTTTCTCCAGCTAATGTAAGCATTGGCAGGACACAAAAGCGGCCCGACCCGAGGCCTTTGCAGTCACAGAGACTGCTGATTCACTGTCGGCACACTAGCTTTTGTTTATACACATACTTTAGAAATAGAGCTGCTCATAAAAAGCAGAACTTTGAAGCAGACCTATACGTCGAGATGTATTCCCTCAGCTTTGTGGGGGGATGAATAATTGAACTGTCACCAAGGGAAAAAAACATTGAAAGAGTGACATATCTAAGCCTGTGTTGTTGTTGTTTTTTTTTTTGTATATAGCAGCGTCACTGCTTATGGGGGCAACTGAGCCATGCAACCATGTGTTTCTTTGTCTCCTGACTGCGCCTGTAGAGAACTTCTGACAAACATGCAAAGCTAATTAGATGTCTTGTCATTGACAAATACATGCACTTCTTCTTTGCCTCTAGAAGAAAGATCTACCGGTAATCTTCCTGTCTTTAACTCCAATGATTCATTCATGATTCATTCACAGTGATGATATGTTGGATCTTTTGGCTGATGAGATGGTAATTGTTATCTGGTGAAATGTTAACCCACCTTATTCCTGCAAACTTTTCAATAAGAAGAAAGGAGTTTCAGAGTGTGGAAATCTTAAAAAAAACATTGGCTTTTCTTTTTCAGAACATGGAAAAAAAAGAACAAGCTGTTATTTTGTATTCACAAATACAAAACCAGGTTTTCCATGCATGTTTAAATGCAGAAGGTAGTTTTGAGATTTATTTGTGCTTATTAAAAGTGCATCAGTCAGGCCGATTTCTAGATTTTTGTCTTTACAAGCACTGTGGCGCACAAAGACTTGTTTGTCTAAACTTGGCTTTAAGTGGGGATTTAAATAAAACAAACCCTGAATTTAAAAAAAAAAAAAAGGGCCTTGAAAACTTTGAAAGAGGTAGCTCTGCTGAACCTGGTAGAAAATGAACAAAAAATTGTCTCCAATTATTCAGGTTAGCATCCGATTATCACTGCGATTAAATTGCATAACAAGATCATGTTTGCTGATGTGTAGATAAGAAAAGCATATACCTCTCAAATTTTGGATTTGAAAATATGGGAGATTTTATCATATCTAATGAAAAAGATTACGTTTTTTTTGTTCTGAAAGTTTCTTAAAAATTAAGTTGGAAAAAAATCAGGATTTTGAATGTTAACCTAATGATCAACAGCAATAGCAAATCAAATAAAAACAAGTTTATTTCAATGACTTACGGCTTTATAATCATGTCAGTATTTCTTATACACATTTTGTGTAAATTGGGTTGGTGATCGGTTTTAACCTTGACTAGCTTTGTTTGATGATCACTGGCTTACTTTGAGTGTAATCACACCTGCCATATTTGGTTCGCTTCAAATGGACCACAGTTCATTCCCCTGTTAGTCCAGATCTTTTTTGCAGGTGTGAATTTATAAACAATGTAAACAAGCTGTGATCCACTTTTTGAGGCTTTCAAAAAGACTGGTGCGGTTCGCTTCTATTCTGGACACAAACCAGCCTCTAAAATAAAGTCTGAAGAAAATTCTAGTTCAGACTTTTCTGTGGAGACATGTTGGCTCACAATAATGGCTGCTGTGAGTCGGATTTAGATGCTGGCGGATAACAGGAAACTGAACACATTACAACAGAGCTGCTTTGTTTTATCGTTTTGGAAAGTTTTGTCCTCTCCGTCACTAAACGTCATTAGTTTGCAAATCCTGTCAGCCTTTTTGTGTTTTTTTTTTTTTTAAAGTGAATACACACAGAGACTGCATTTTACTAGTAATGGAAATAATTATTCTAGTTAACATAAGATTTTGCAGATTGGTGGGCACATTTTCCCAAATAAATGTTTTATTTATTTATTTTTTTTAACAAAAAGTATAAAAAGTGTATTTGGATTGGTATTTATATTCCTTGAGAAGAAACCGTATAACCAGCTGAAATTCATGCTGGTAGATCAGAGCTTCATCAAACCTAAATCTCTGATCAATACGTTTCCCATAATCCATGGATTATCTGGCAGAACATGCTCATCTCCATGTCGCTGCCTTATCTAAGTGGTCAGTCCTCTTCTTCCCACTCTCTTTGAGGGCGTTTACTTCGCCCTACAGGCTGGAGTCAAGCTTAAGGTCTATAACTCCTCTTAACCTGATGTCGAAACTCTTCCTTCAGCGGCCCATTACTGGAAAGACAACCAAGCCGTCTGCCTGCAGGGTAAGTGCAGCTCGTGCAGACCATCGGGAGCCAGCAGCGGAGAACAAACTCACTGCATCAGCCTGCAGAGTAAACAGAGACAGAGAAACATTGACATCCACACACGCTCCACTAACTGGCAGGAGTATGCCTTGATTGCTAGCTTTGGTACATGATTTACACTGTGCTTCAAGGGTGAATTCAGGTCCAGGCAACTAGAAGTGAAGCTACGGACGTTTTTAATCCCTGGAAACGTTTCAGCGAGAAGTTTTCCTTTGTCTGTAACACTGTTGTCAGGTTAGTTTCAGAGCTCGGTTATCAGCAGTTCAATCTTAGAAGGAATGACAGCATTTGCTCATTGAGATAAATAAGAGTTATTAAATTTTATTGTGTAAACAAAGGGTTTAAAATGATGGGTACCTTAAACCTGAAGTTGAAGTGTCTTTGTCAATGTCTGCCACATAGTCCAAAGGCAGTTTACACACCCATTGTAGAAGTCCTAAAAAAGCACTAAACAGGAACTTTATGCCGTCTGCTCTGCTGCCTGTGTTATCAGCAAAGACCTTCCACTGGATCTGGTTTGTATTGTGGATTTAAGTGTCAGATATATGGCCCTACTTTACCTCTAGTTCCTCCTAAGGTGTTTGGGGGGGTCTAACCTAAGCAACAACTATAAACATACACATTAAGCGCTGTAGCTTTTCCAAAAGTAGAAATACACAATATTTTCCAGAGCTTTAAGCTAGTAGCTTTTTATTTTTTGGTATCCTCGTCAATTGTGATTATTTTTACGGTTATTGACTCTACTTCCACAAGAGTTCCTCAGGAATTTGTTTGTTTCAGAACATTAATTTTACACACTCTTTGTGGTCGTGGGCTGTGAGGAAGTCATGTGGTTAAAGCACTATAAGGCCATTTAAAAAAAGGCCAGGTCTCTGAACTTAAGGAAGAACAGAGCAGCTAAGGCACTTGAGTTTTCTCAGGGTTCTCTGTTAAATGTGGACCAGATGCACAGTGATTCGTTTTATGATGTTGAACTGTGAGGTGGAGATACCTCAACTGTTTAGTTTCAGCATTAAAGTCATTTCAGATCCGATTTTTGGCTCTTCACCTGCGAAACTGACATCTCTGTGTACCTCTAGGTCTCTGCCACCGGCCTTTGTTTTATGTCTTTCTGCGTCAGGCACTTGAGGCTTTGTAATTTGTTTAAGCAGCTAAAGTTTGGATGAAGATGCATGGTGGGAGATTATGAGCTTGCTGTGTGATTTGTGGGTTGGATCACCTCTGAGCTCCGGCTCAGATGTCCACTACATGCTGTGGTGTTGAATTCTTTCATAAATACTTACATTAGTATGAGGAGCTTCTTCTGCATTTGCAGACTAATATTAATAGTACGTTTTTTGGTGTTAAAAATAATGGCTTTAGTTTTTCATCAGGATGTCGGAATGAAATATAAAAAAAATAATTAAGTCAGGTAGAAGTAGCATGGAAATAATGTAATACAGCCAGCTTAAATGAGTTTCATTGTTTATCCAAAATTCCTTAAAGAAAAATTGTAGGCTTTTTAACGTTTCAGAATTTTAGTGAATTTCAGAAACTGAAAATAAATTATTCCAGCCTTTTGTAACTTTGACAGATAATTGGGGCTGATACAACTATGGTAATCACATTAATCGTGATTTAATAGATTATTGAAATAATCATCAGCTAATTTAGTAATCGATTAATCGTTAACTGGAGTTTAGACTCTAAAACAAGACTGTAGCTGACAGAGCAACCTATTTAGAGCAGCAATTATAGCAACATTTTAAAAAGAATATATATACATTTTGCATTTTAGATCAAATAAAATGTTTTTGTCTGTCAATATGCTCTATCCAGAACTCCACAAGTAAAAACGGTTTAGTTACACCTGGTTTGATTTCGTATAAACTCTTCCATAAGGAACCTTTGGTTAGCCGATAATTAATCGATTAATAAAAATAAAAAATTATCGATAGATTAATCGATTTGCAAAATAATCATTAGTTGCAGCCCTACAGATAATCACATTTCCAGTTGACATGTTTGTGTCCTGTTTCCTGCTCCCTCACTCAGGACGATATGACTCGTTCACAGACGTGGTAAATTATTTATGCCGAATGCCCTTCCTGACGCAACATTCCAGATGACACATCTAGTGCTTTAAACATTTAGTATAAAACTAAATGAAGATAAACCTCTTTTACAGATTGATTTTAAGTGATGATCGGAAATGAAACTATTTTGTGTCGCCACAGTAAAAAAAATAAATAAAAGGGTTCAGCTCTGAAGCGGCTCTTTAAACAGATAAAAGTAGTGACTTATCGCTTTGTTTATCCTGCTTCTCAAACTTGGAGTGCATTATCAGAGGGGGGGCCAATGGAAGGCTATTAGTGTGTATTTGTTAAAACCTTGTAAATCTTTTTAATTTATGTTACGGCGACTGTGGGACCTTCCCACAGCCTTCTGGTTTCCATTGATGTTGAGTCGGCGGTCCTGCGGTCCGTACCTGTAAACCCGTGCTGAAGAGGGCCGTCTCAAACTCAAGGAATCAATAACTTCTGCAACATATGGAGATTTTTTTGGATCAATCAGCTTTGATAGAGGAGAGATAGCAAGACTCCTTAGGTAGCAGAACGATTTTTAAACATGTTTATAAAACAAAATTGGAAGCCTTTAGGAAAACTCTGATTTAAGCCGTTCTCTTGACTTTCTCTAGCGCTGATGTCTCCAGTGTCTGGGTCAGGAGGGCTCAAATCTACATATAGAGGATCTTTGGATGCTCATCAGAAATTAAACTAACAAAATTGATCACAGTAAGGCACATTAATGCATTCTTTTTAAAAGAAATGAAATGCAAATATTCTTGTTTAACTGGCTCATTAGAGGTACTTTTATATTCAGCAGATTAAAAAAGTCGAGTTTCTTCCACCACTTTCGTCTCTAAGCATCAATGTTTCTGAATCACTGTTTTAGAGAACGTGCACAAAAACGTCTGTTGTAATGAAGGCCAGGCTAACAGCTCATATTAGATGCCAAACAATCTTCAAAATGTGAACTTTATAAGTCTTTTTTTTTATGAAATACTAGTAACATTTCTGTTAAAGTAACTGCTCTCTCTTTCATGATTGAAGATGTCTCTGCTCCTATTATTAAACAGTTTTTTTTTGTTTTTATAGATATGTGTTCTCATATTTTTCTTCAATTCTTAAAGAACTATTTTAGTTTCAAATGTTTATAAATAAATAAAAAACTGAGTAAGGAATCTCTATTAGTGTTAATGACTTTGCCCATTTCTGGTAAAACTTTGTACACGGTGTGTTTGACCTCCAGCTCCACCCCTTCATACCCCGGTTGCACTGCGAGTGCCCTCTTAACCCGAGCTTAACTCCTGCACCGACTGCTTTGAAGCTTCACACCAGACTTGAAAGTAAAGTTTTAATCGCTAATGAGGACATCAGCTTACATTTAAAATTTTCCCTCTATTGCAGCTTATCGTGTTGTCATTCTTCCACTCTTCTCCCCCATTGTGTTTTATAGCTTGTGATTGTGCAGTGGGAGGCTCTCCTCCCCAGGTCTCCTCCTAATGGCTGTTTGTATGTTGTTTTAGAGGCAGATTTACATGTGGGAGGGGCGCAGGGTGCTGATTTACAACCAGCAGCACCACTGTCGGGTTTTAGTGTCTGACTGGCCGCTTTTTGTGTGTTCCAGGTGATGGTGCAGTCTGGCCGCCAGCCCAGCGTGCTGCAGAAATTGTGTCAGCTGCCCTTCCAATACTTCAGCCACCCACGCCTCATCAGAGTGCTCTTTCCTACCCTCATCTCTGCCTGTTACAACAACTCTCATAACAAGGTGATCCTGCAGCAGGAGATGAGCTGTGTGCTGCTGGCTACATTCATTCAGGTAAATGGCAATTTGGAAAAATAAAAGCAATGTTTTATGCTAGCTTAAAAATATGCGGGGTAATATATTCATTTAATCTGCTGCCGACTTGGAGCATCTTTAAAAAAAAAAAAAGTCAAACTCTTGGTTTATTCGCGTACATCACACAATTCCACCACATTAGCAGTCCATTAGCTAATTGACAGGAGGTGGTCTGGGCCGCCGGTGAATCTTTAGCAGGCGGGCTTTTACCAAGATAAATGGATTCCTTCACGGTGGATTTACCTGCCACTGCTTCAACTCCCAGTAAACATCTCTTCTCCTTCATCTTCCTCTGACAACAAGCCCTCTTCGCCACGCTGCAGCCACCACTGTTTAAACACCGATTAACTTCCATTCAAAGGGAGACAAGCCATTGTCATTTCTTTCAAACAAACCAATAATGCATGGCGTCTTGCCCCGCTGCCCTCAACCGTGTTAAGCTCAGGAACATTCCTCCGAGTGGAGCAACTTAATCCTGGATAGCCGAGTAATTCACGATGAGATGGAACTGTCACAGCAGCTTAAACGTTTCCTTCCTTAAGTGTTGCTTTGTGCTTAAACCATGTAGTATGATTAAGAAGTTATTTAATTATGTTGATAATTTTGGTATCCTTGCATCCTCATTTAAAAAGCCTTTTTCTTCATAGGACTGTGCTGCAAATGAGAAGGATTCAGACGATAAGATCAATAAAAATGGTAAGTTATTTAGCTAAATTTATGTTATTAGAAACTTTGTCCTTCTGCTTTGATTTTTCTTCTCTTCAGTGGTATTTTATTTTTATGAGAAGCTCTGACTCATGTGATTTCCTCTAAAGCATTAATGGTTTCTGCCACACTCTGTATTAAAGGTTGTGTTTTTCTCCCTGTTTAGCTCCCCGATGTTTGCTGGATTACTGCATGCTGTCCTACCGCTTTCCAAGAGATCAGTGGGACTCAGCCCTGCAATTTTTTCTCAAGAAGCAGGAGGAGGGATCGAGTTGAACTCAGTCCTCTGATTTAAAAATCCCAGTTTAGCCATTTCAAAGGGTAATTCCTTGATGACATCAATGTTTAATACGTTAAAAGGCCTTATATGTTGCATCCATGTTGATTTCGTGGAAATCTTGTTGATGCAGCAGAATAATTTGCACAAAATGTCTTATTTGTTAATTAAAGTTTAAATACTTTATCGGTTGTTTTGCTGTTTAAGTGGTTTTGCATGTGTTTGTTCCTGTTGCACAGTTTATAGAATAAAACATTTAATTGTGCTGTAACTTGTTTGCCAAACGTTCGGGGACGCCTCTGTTCGTTTACTGTATTTCACTCGTTAATTAAATGTTTACTACTATGCCGATTTCTCGATATTATTACATTTTATTGTGGGTAGAAGTAACTCTGAAATAAAAAATACATATTTTGAGCATAAGTGCTGCTCCTAGCTACAAGTTATTTGTTATTAAGCTAAGAATAAAACAGTGATTTAATCCATTCTGTTTTTGCAGCTGACGGAAATGAGACACATATAGTTATATACAATTTTCCGGTCATTTTGATTAGTGCAGTTTCTGTTAACTTAGAGGATGTTAACTCCGAATGGTTTATGAACGTTCGTTAGAAAGACCTGTGAGATTTAGTGTCATAGCTTTTTCCTGTTTTTTTTTTTTTTTTTTTTTAGAGCAATTTTGCATGTACGTAGTGTGAGTGTAAATTTTATTTATGCATAATGTGAAATAAAAAAAACTAGACATCTGCTGTTCAAAATATGGTTTAGCTATTTGAATACTTCATTCAAATCTATCTCTGTTCATCCAAGTAATGGAAATAAATTTTACTTCTACTGTTATTTATAATTTGTTAATCACTTTCTGTACCGTTTTACGTTAATTTATTTGTTTCTGTCATTTTATTTTTGGTCACAAGATTCTTGTTTTTTGTGTATTCTTTCTGTTCCTAGTTCCACTATTAGAAAATATCAACCATTTATAGTTTCATTTCATAACTCCATGTTCAAGGAGCCATTTACGAGTTAATATATTTCATTTAATAAAGTTTGTGAAATACTGTTCTATCCTGTCGATTCTCTGATTTATTCTATACACATTGAGCACCAGCTAAACTAATACAGCAGGTGGGTCTCCATTTGTCTTAATAGATTATTTCATAGCTAAAGGCCAATTACCATACTTTTTGGGGGGGCGGGGGGTTAGTTGATATATTTTGTATTAAAGCTCTGCAAGATTTTGCTTGTCCTGTTGATTTTTACCATTTAATAGTATATTTCAATAAAATAAACTTTTGTAAATCACCGTTTCTCTCACCACTTAAAAAAGGGTAATTTTAAACATTTTTAATTTTTCTTGCTTTGTTCTCCAGAAGTCTTTAAGTGTGAAACGGGGATGGATTCGCTGACATACAGATTTTAATTTCATTAAGAAAAAAATGTTTGTATTGTAGGTCTGAAACGGTGTCTCAGAATAGATAAAGAAATGTAGGAATCAGCCTTTTATTTAATCAGTGTGAAACTGGTACCATCTCCCAGCTCATTCAGGCTTGCTTTAAATCAGTGATGTTGAAATCTGGGGCCTGTGAAATGTTCAGATGATATAATGCTAAAATACATAGGTTATCTCAAGTTTATGGTAAGTATGTAAAGAAAAAGAAAACCTTATCTTATATTTTACTGGTGTGTATTTTCTTTATAAGATGAGCTATTGCTACAATGAAATCTTTGACATATTTAGACTAGTTCTCAGCATGTTCTGTTGTTTTATTATTATTTGAATTGGGCTCAATTTCCCTCGCTGATAAAAACCGATCCTCCCCAACAAATTGCTGAGGTGTAGAGTGTCAGTCCAAGCTTGACCCTCATGCTCTCCTGTCCAGCGGCTATTTGTCGCTCAGGATTCCTGCTGGAATGAAAATAAACTGAAGATGCGTCCGCAGGCAACATGGAGTCCCCTCAGCGCTGCGCGGCTCAGTCAGCCCACTGGATCCCTTACAGGTGATGCCAGATGGAGATAAGGGGCCCCCGCTGCCTGGAGGCTACTCAGTCTAGACTTCCAGTCCAATAATACAGGACTCCAGTTTTGTAGGCTAAAATTGATTTAGTCTAAAAGCAAATGTACATTTTTATATCATCAGCAAACGCTGCGTAAAGTTTGTTTGGAATCTGGCTGCAAAGGCGCGTCATGTTAGAAATGGGAGCCAATGCAAACATTGCAAACGCTTAAAGCTGGAGAACAGCGGACACTTATTGTCTGATTCACTGACCCCTGACACAGGGCAAAAAGCTCAATAATATCTTGTCAACAATCAGTCACTGATCTTGGCTCAGAAACTATCTAAGCAGATTAAAAGTCTGCCAAACCTGCAGACAACTCTAAACAGAATTGTTAAAGCTTTTTAAATGGATATTTTTTGCCTTGATTTCAACTATAAACTTTCTCCCTTTCAGAAATATATCTTCTAAACAAGGCATTTCAGATACGAATCCTATTTTTTCTAACTTCAATATGTTCAAAAGAATTATTATTATTATTATTTTATTTTTTTTTAGCAAACTCTAGTTTTATTAGAATTAAGGAATGGTCTCCAGACCTTGAATACATCCAACCAGAGAGGTTACTTACAGTTTCATCAGTTGTCTTCCTACAGCCAATTCATTTATGCACGATTTTGTTCATTCACTGTGAAAACTTTGAACGATTTAATAAAAGAATAGAAGCCTTAATACTGGATGACGTCATCCTCTAACTGTTTTTTTTTCTCCTTTTTTTACTAATACTTTTCAACAAGCATTTCTTATTGCCACAAATTATTGCCAACTGGTCTTTAATTTTTTTTTTTTTTTTTTTTTAAAGGTTTAAAATCCGGATCTATGGTTATTGCTGTCTTTTTACAGTAAACAAAATAAATAATATATTAATTATTATGATCTCTTCCTTTTATTATACTCCTGACCGCTCTGATCATATTCACAGAATATTTGTCTTATTTCTAACTTTTATTTGCTAAATATTAGACATCTTCAAATTAATTGCCTGTTTCAAAAATGTAATATTCTGTGAATCCATCGAGATTTTTATGATCTTTAAGACTTTTAGGGAAAGATTGACTTATTTCACCAGAAAGAATGTTTGCTGGCTGCAATCAGCGCTCAAGAAGCCCATGGTAGCTGACGTCTTCCTATCTCTATTTTTATTTTATTTTATAAAACTCTCTAACCAAACTCTGCTTACTCATCCAAACCTAAATCTTCCTTGAATAATTAAATATCAAAACATCAATTATTATGTTTTTTTTTTTCATTTAACCGAAAGATGATCTCTTTTCCCTATATTTCTTCAAACGAAAAAAAATATATATATATATATATATATATATACTGAACGCCTTGATCGACAAAATTGATTTTATGCATGCAGTAAGCAGTTGTTTTATTGATAAGATCAGTTATATTTGCCTTCATAATAAATAGTAATAACTTATTTTCTTATAGGAAAGGTGAGGTAGGCTACACCTCTTTCATCTGATCCAATAATTTACGTCAGTCTAGTGAATCTTACAGATCATGCACATCTACACAGGTTGCATTTTCCTGACAAACATACTGGAATCTTCGACGCGCAGACGTCCAGCACTGGCTTATGTGCTTTAATCCAATCACATCCTTCCCAGTATATCCATGTAGCTATTGGCACGACTTTTTTTTCTCTACAAGAGGAAGCCCCTCGTGTTCATCTACAATTGTGGATCCAGGAAGCATTTAGAGCTTCAGTCCTCCCAGTTCCGATCTGCATGGATGGATCCTGCAGTATAATCCAGCCCGGTTCCCTTGAATGTCTTCCTTGCGCTTCCTTTATGGGGATGATGAGGCTGAGTTTTCGGCCACCAGCTGACCCGTCTGCCTCATCACGTGTCGACGGGACTCGGGACCATGCTGTTCGGTGTGTCCGGTAACTGGGATGATAGGGAGGTTACATCGCTGCCCGAGGAGTTGCCCAAAGAGCCCGACTCAGAGAAAGAGACCTGTGCAGGAGACACAGACAAGTAAAAAAAATTATATATATATATAGCCTATATATATTTATATATATCATAATCCCAGCTTGGTATGATTGATTGACTTTATTGATCTCACAGTGGAGAAATGTACTCCTTACATCAGCTTAAATATTGTGCCAAAGAAAGAAAAATGTGCATGGCATTTTTAAAGAGCATACACACTGCAAAAACAATCTAGAAATAAGTAATATTTCTTAAATTAAGTCTATTTACCCTTAATTTTAGCAGATAAATAAGATGATTTACAGTGGAATGAGTATTTTTATTCTTAGAATAAGATAATTAGATAACATGCACTTGAAATAAGACAATACAGTTGTTTTTTTTCTTATTTTACATGTAAATTGTCTTGTTCCATTGGCAAATTGTCTCACTTATCTCCTCAATTCAAGGAAAAATGCACTTAATTTAAGAAAAAATAACTTATTTGGATTCCTTTTTTTTTTTGTTGCAGTGCACATATGACAGCTTTATATATAGCAGGATTCTTATACAAGGTTCCTGCACAGGGTAATTTATATAGATTTGATATTATGACCCAAAGGTCAATTGTAATTCAACGGATTTTCTTTTTCTCCAAATTTTAATAAAATCACAGCATGCAATTTAGGCCCTTTAAATAGATCGGGTGAAAAAACAACTAAACCTTCAGTAAAAAAATATATATTTTTCTGTCCTTTGCAGGCGTTTTGACACATGCCCATAAACGCAGACCTACCAGTTGCTGGAAAGCAGGCTGGTCCAGATCGGTCTGCAGAGCAAAGTCGCTGAGGCTTTTCCACGGAGGCTGGTAGGTCTGTACCTCCACTGGGTTCCCCTGCACGGTGTTGTCATGTCTGATCGGACTCCCAGCCACCAGAGGAGTGCCTGTCAGGCCCTGCAGATTCTAACAGGGGGATGAAAACAGTTCATTTTGTTCAGATGTTGTACTTTTAAGGGAAAACGTAGTTAAGAATGTTTTTGGGAGAAAAAAAAAACAATATAAGCATGCAATTTTAGATTTCCTTCTGATTTTTATGATATTTTTCCCCAATTAATACTCAATTATGACTTTACAATGTGGATAAGTAAAACTAGTTGATTATTTTCTATTTCTCCAGAATAACAGGATGTTTTCTCCCTGATAAAGATCCACATACTGTTTTGTCGCTCTGCTGCTGCTGCTGAAGCTGCTTCATCAGGATAGACTTCTTCTTGTCCTTGCAGCGCTTGTTCTGGAACCAGACCCGGATCACTCTGGGGCTCAGGCCGGTCATCTCCACCAGCTGCTCCTTCATCAGGGCGTCCGGCCTCGGGTTGGCGTTGTAGCAGGTCCGCAGCGTGTGCAGCTGCTTCTCGTTCAGAACCGTCCGGACGCGGGTGGTCTTTTCAGACTGTTTGTGGACGTGGTTCCGATGGTGAGGTGGATGCCGGACTGAAATGGGATCTAGGGTAGAAAATTAAAAAGATAATTAAAAAATAATAATAATATGCTAAAGCCTAAGCAGATATTGCAATAAAGTTAATATGATAATAAAAAAATAATAATTACCAGCTATGTGCAGGGGCCTGGTGGGGAGGTTCCCAGGGCTCAGCGGGCTCCCTGCAGAGGACCGCTCCACCAACAAGCCGTGATCGGCCCGACACAGCAGCTCATCGTCCCGCAGTGAGAACTCATCCCCCGGCAGGAGGTGCCGGCTACACACCGAGCACCGAAAACACTCCATGTGATAAACATTTCCCCGGGCCCTCATCACCAGGTCGCTGCTGCAGAAGCCCATGTCGCATTTTGCACATTTAATACCAAATAATCTGAGGAAAAAGGCACAAATATGTATTTGCATTAATTAGACAGACCTAAAGCTTATATTTTAAAACAGTAAAATACATTTACTCTTTTGGCGTTATCATTTTTTTATTTTTCATTTTTTTGAAGCGCAAAAATAGAGAATAAATTGATCCACCTTTCAGGCCATGTACCTTGCATAATCTCTTTTACAGTAAGTCTTTCCGTCCCGGACG